CATCAAAATTCGTGGCAATGTAGTGTTTGAGATTTAGGAATTCATTCTTGGTTTTCATGCTTAATGAGTCGTGAACGAGAATCTTATATATAAAGCTGAATGTCTGTTTGTATGTCTGTCTGTCTGTATGTCTGTACGTATGTTCCGAATAGAAAATTCCATTTCTGAACCGATCCGGACCAAACTTGGCACACATACACTTCGGGCCCCGGCGGGTGTCATAGGCTACTTTTCGTCGATCGATATCGATTTTATCGATTTTTATCGATTTTTTTGCTGAGTTCACCTACGGAGCTGGGAGTTGGCACAGCGGGGTAATCGAGCATGGGGATTCCGAATACAATATTGGTTTCCAGGATTATCGATTACTTTTATCGATTTTATCGATTTTTTTGCAAAGTTTGAGCTACGGGGCTGGGAGTTGGCACAGGGGGGTAATCGAGCATGGGGATTCCGAATACAATATTAGTTTTCGGGATTATCGATTACTTTTATCGATTTTATCGATTTTTTTGCAAAGTTTGAGCTAGGGGGCTGGGAGTTGGCACAGGGGGGTAATCGAGCATGCTGATCATCCCCAAGGGGGGTGATCAGCATGCTCGATTACACCCCTGTGCCAAATTCCAGCCTCCTAGCTCAAACTTTCAAAAAATCGATAAAATCGATAAGAGTAATGGACGATCTTGAAAACTAATATTGTATTCGGAATCCCCATGCTCGATTACCCCCCTGTGCCAACTCCCAGCCCCGTAGCTCAAACTTTACAAAGAAAATCGATAAAAACGATAAAAGTAATGGACGATCCTGAAAACTAATATTGTGTTCGTAATCAGCATGCTCGATTACCCCCCTGTGCAAAACCCCAGCCTCGCATGTCAAAATTTACAAAAAATCGATAAAATCAATAAAAGTAATCGATAATTCTGAAAACTAATATTGTATTCGGAATCCCCATGCTCACTTCCCCCCCTGTGCCAACTCCTAGCCCTGTAGGTGAACTCTGCAAAAAAATCGATAAAAATCGGTAAAATCGACATCGATCGATAACGAAAAGTGGACTGTGACACCCGCCGGGGCCCGAATTGTATGTGTGCCAAGTTTGGTCCGGATACGGCGGAGCCGGGTAAGCCAGCTAGTCATATATAAAGCTGAATGTTTGTTTGTGCGCATGTACTCGCAGCGCCCCCAAAGTCTTGTAGCCTAACATTCTTTACTGACAAAAACCACAGAGAGACACAAAATCTCGTGCATACATTATTCAATCGATAACATAATAGATTGTTACCAAATCAATGCAAATCTCACGATTCCAACTTTGGGTCTCTATAACTTTTTACAAAAGTAGACACTCCCATGCAACAAAACGTTGTCAGCAAAGCGGGACGCGCTCTCGCGAGCTTCTAAGAGACATCTCTCAACCTAAAGATTGCCATAAAGATCACTCATTGTGTAGCAAATAATCGCTTTGGCAGAAATGTTAAGTATGAATTTCACACAAATCTTCTTCTGAAAGACACTGCTTTAGTTGCCTCTAAACTCCTTATTTCCTCTCCGCTGGGAACATAGCTACTAGTTTTCACTCCCAAATGCGAAAGCTCTGCGCGAAAGCTCGCAAAGCAATCGTTTTGCGCTAAAGACTTTCAAAAATCTCAATAAGTCCACAGCAACCATTCGTCTTCGTTAAAATTTTTTGGTTCTTTGGAAAACTTTTGTAAACCATGCAGCACATTGTAACGCAGCCTTCTGAGAGATACCATGCAAGTCTTCAGATCATCGCGGTGGTTCCAAAGAGAAGAGAGAAAGAAGAAAGGATTTTTAGAAGTTTGTCTTCTCAGTTTTGTAAACACGAATTTTCAAAATGAAAATTCACTTCTATTGGATGGAAAGCAGAAATAAGACACTAGACAAAAATACCTTTTGAATGTTGAATGAATTTCCCTATGAAATTGTTTTCTTTTAAATGAGCACTTCGAGAAGGAAAGAGTTGTGAAAAGCTTGCATCATTACAACCTAATACTACAAAATATTTGAACATAATATCCTCCTTTGTCGTCTGTAGCAGGCTGGTAGTCAAGTTCATCACTCGCCTTCGCGGAAATTGGAGAATGAGAAACGGTTGAATTGCAACAAATTTGAAAGTGACTATCTTGCCTGAATAGAACTATTAGGTTGTTCCAGAAGTAAACCGTGATTCTAAGTAAATCAAACTGTTTTTGTTTTCCTGGCAGTCTTGAGTACCATTCGATAGAGCGAAGCAAGCCAAAATGACCGCAAAAGATCCGTCTATGTCGTAATCCAGGTAAAGTTTGGAGCAAAAATCGAAAAAATTCATTACTTGAAAATTGGATTTCCGCGAAGAATAATCGTACGGAACTCAAACTTAGTCATTATACAGGAGACATATCGTAGTACTCAAATATGCTATTACTGGATTTTTTCTAAGCTCAGAAAGCGAGAAAAAAGAGATAGTCGGAAATGGCGAACCCCGCCTCAGGCCCCTCCCACATATGTCATTGCACTACAAGCCTTTCTAAGTGCAGTTTTGAAACCTTACCCCTGTATGTGCTCTTATAATCGAGAAATACCAAGTTTTACACAAAAAAATCCGAAAAAAGTGGCATTTTGGCATTTCGGGACCATCTTTGTTTCTCAATTTTGAGCTCCAGAAGAAATCAATCAAGAACATTTTTCGGTACTACTATGTGTCTATTATATAGAGACCAAGTTGGAAGTCCGTAGAAATTTTCTGGGAGCACATCCGGTTTTTGAGATAGCTGAAAAATTTTGACTTTTGGACCCAAATTTTACCTGGGTCGCGACTTAGGGTACCTTCATACCGCGCCGGCAGCCGCCGCTAGCAGCCCATAGCCGCACTATCCCAGTATTCCAAGGCCTTTCCAAAACGTAGAAAGACTGAGTTACTCGTAATCAGCATATTTTGAACAACCCCATCAAACCAAGTTTGAGCAATATTCATGGTTTTAATTTTAAGATGCGGATACTGGGATGGTGCACAAAAGCGGCTAGCGGCGGCTGTCGGCGCGGTATGAAGGCACCGTTAGACGGTTCTTTGGTGGCCATTTTGCTTCGCTCTATCGGATGGTGCCCCAATTCTCAGGAAAACAAATACAATTTGATTTCTTCAGAAATACGCTTTACTTTTGGGACAACCTGATAGATCCTGTAGTACTGGTTGGTCAGTTGGCATTGAGGCTAAGTTGTTATCAGCAGGTGGCACCATATGCAACGCGCTTGAGTTTCGCTCTTGCCACAATAACCTAATCCCTGGTAGGGTCAACGGGCTCAAAGAAGTTCACGGACGTGTCGACATGGTCGTTAGCCCGTCTAGGAGCACTCGCGACGTGCCAGAGGAATTTTGAGGCAGATCTGAACCTTTTGCTACAGTCACAACCGAATATTAGAGCATCATTTGCTGCTCAAAAACGGCTTCCAAAAACTGCCCCGAAAGGAGGAAGTATGCATGCAAACAACTAGATCCATTCAAGCTCCGCTTACCTCCGTGCGCCGCTCACTTCCTTGGACAAAATCGCCTCAACCCACTTTTTCACACAGCACACACAATCGGACACATGCCGTCGTACAGGTGCTGCCCCTAATGTTTGACTAAAAGAAAGAAATACGATCGGATTTTGGGAATTTAACGCCCTGAAGGCACGCCTCTTTACCTGTGGATTTCCTGCTCCGCAGTACAGTACGCATGCCGCCACAGTTAAAGTCGTAGGTTCCCCAGCGACTCTGCATCTCAGCCTCAGTGGTAACTGTTCCACTCGTCCAATACCAAATTGAAAGGCTTCGCAAAACGCATGCCCTCATCGTTCTCTCCTTTCTAACACGGATTTTCGGATTCAGCATTCCCGATAACTGCAGGTAAGTAAGTTTGCTTGAAATCGAGTTTCTTGCCCACACTGACGTCAAGTAAACACTTTTGACTAAAAGGTAGAATGTGTAAGGCATACTTGCAAAATGGCACTGACAATTTTCTTTTTTGAATGACAGGGGTAAAGGACAAGGGGTTGCCGGGGCTCCATCCCGCGAACTGCTACCAGAGACATGATGGAGAGAAGTGCACATTTGTTGCGAATTTTCGCGTGGAAACATCCCCTTCGGCGACCTAATGTGTCCTCTGCCCCGAAGGAAGTTACGCTGCGAATTTCTATTAATTTATTTATTTATTTATTCGTTCAATACATTACTATATTGTAATTGCTAGATACTAAAAGAGCTTATATCGCAATGACAAGGGGTTGCCGGGGCTCCATCCCGCGAACTGCTACCAGAGACATGCATAATAATACACAAATAGGAAGAAACAGATGTACAGATGTTATGCTTTCTTTTCACATCGCTAAACCTTCTGCGTAAGGATCATATTAACACGGTTGGAAAGTTTCGGATATAGTAAGTGCATTCTGGTAGATGGTAGTATGTTGGCATGCAAAGTCTATCTGCGCAAAAGATTCGTTCAATAATATCAAGAGATGATCGCACACATGAAGAATAAGTTGTAATTAATATTTTGCTCGAAAACGGAGCATGATGGGATATCCTAGTGCTAGTAACATACTGCAGAAGAAGAAGAAGAATGAAGTGAAGTGGATTTCGAAGTAGAGTTAGGCTCATGCCCGCAGAGAGTATTGGAGACTCCGAATCCTTTATCATTTCATATTTTTGTTTTACTCAAACCTCATTTTTCTCGATAATTTGAGTCCTTGAAATTCGGACAACAAAACTCTCCTACAATCGAAACCCGAAAGCGAATATATTTAAATGTTTTATACGAGTGGCTGAGTTTTTATTTGATTTTCACTAAGATTTGTTGAGAATGCCTCCTACCACAGCTTTTGTGGAAATAAAGGGGGAGGAAGGGGAGGGGCTCTCTAGCTGCTAGCCAGTTGGCTTTCGCTCGAAGATGATAAAGAGAGGAGAAGACGGTACCATAGATTGGAATAAGGGTAGTGATTCTTTCTCGAAGTGGTTGGTCAGCCATTTACTCGATGCCAAGACTTCCTGGAAATTTCGTTTCTTTATACCATCTACGACTAGCTTGCAAGTAAAACTTACAGAAAGAATTCATCGCTCAACATTTTGTAGTCCCTGGCCTTCCGTCGATCTTTATAATAGTATACAGCTTGTTGGTCTTTCGTGAAGAAAGCCAACCACCAACCCATAGTGGATGTTGGCGCAGAAAGGAGAAACGATTTGCAAAGCTGAGAAGAGATGTAAAACTCGGACATTTCCGAAAAAGTGGATATACGAACAGTCTGAAAACATACCCTTGCTACTAGAGGATGTTTACTTTGCTCACCCTTTTCTCGTCATTTAACACTATAGTTCTGGCTAGATTTCGCATGAAATCCTTGTCGTCACCCAACAGCAGAAATTGTCGAAGCATCTGTCAAATTTATGGTATTTGTCCCATTCAAAGGTTTTGTATCACGTAGTCAATACTGCTTCTACGAGTTCATCAGTCAATTATAACAAACACTAGGGCTATCAAGCATAGGTGGTGAAGTATGTCCATAACGTAAATTTTTTTGTTTCAAATGACGAGGGTTTTTTGTGATGTGCAAAGTAAATCATAATGTTCATTCGTCTCACATGGTTTGCTGTGAATCGGAGCCATTGATTTTGAAAAATATGCTCAGTGTGGGTAATTCGTATTGCTAGCGATAGCTCCTTGAAGAAAGCATTCGCTTGCGCTTGGACTGACTAGGAAAGTCATATTAGAGGTTTTCAGTGACTGTATAGAATCTTAAGTGATCTCAACGGAAGAGACTCTGCATAAGCCTATTTGGGAATGTGTTGGAAGGGCAAAGCCAAGCGAACCATGTCAGAACCTCGAAAGAAAAATGATGTACTTACGAAAAGCTACAAGAAAATCACATTGAATGCGAAGCAACCTGGTATATATCAACATCACAATGCGCAAAAGTCAAGCAAAAACTCCAGAGTGAGAGAGAGAGAGGAAAGAAAGGAGAAAGAAAGAAAGGAAGAAGGAAAGAAAGAAAGAAAGGCTCTGTATGCAAACACTCATATGAAGTGAGAAATTGTGGAAAAATGCGATTTGATAACGCGCATGAATTTATTAGCCGATTTACTGATACGTAATAAGAGACCTTATCAGATCTTCAAAAAATTCTACAAACTGAAGGCAATTAGGTGACGCGCATTGATTATGCTGACATAGCATACATAAATCCCAAGATTTACTTAAAGACCGAAGGCATACAAGGCGAAGCATTAGATGCTAAACTCGTGACTAAATCGGAATAACTTATGGAGCGTGTATCTGAATGAACAATAACAAAAATACCCCAGCAAAACAGAAGAATTGCGCCTCTGTAGCCTTCTTCCTGCTAATAACAATGTTTTTGTGCATATTCCGTAAGGACATGTTTCTTAGCTAAACTCTTCTTAGATTATGGATAAGTTTTAAAGACTCCTAAAGTTGTTCAAATTTAAGAAAAACTGCGCTTTGATTATGCGCAGAGAGTCGAGCGCGAAGAAGCTAATTTATCCCGTAAAGAGATGATTTTCAAAGTCGTCGAAGTTGCCAGTGCCTCTGTCGTCTCTTGTTGAGCAGAATGATGTATGATGTTGCAGGATTTCATTGAGAATCCATGACCGGGACCAAGGGGCCGTCGGCTCCGCTCTTTCTCCGCTGCTCGTCTGCGCCTCCATGTGTTGCGCGCTACCTCGCTACCCCAACAAACACTCGCATGGCACACATGCTCTGAAACTCTTTTCTCCGTTGTTCTAGGCCAAATTCTTGAGATAGTATACCATATCGTAGCCCTCGATCCAGTTTCAAGTCAGCAACGTCGCCGAACCCCATTATTGATGTACGAGGAATGTGGCAAAAACTCAGTTTTGAAAATCTCTCGTTTTATCTTCAGTTTGTTCTTTTCTTGCGATTCTTTCGTGTATTCGATAGATCTTGCTCTTATTTAATATAGACAGCGTAGCCAAGCTTGCTGCTTCGATTATAACCCGACTTTTTATTGAAACTTGGGAAAAGAGAGTTGTTTTTCCATATTTCTTTTTGGAGTGATAAGCAATCATTTTCTTCATGGTAGCGCTTTCTTGCTCACAATGGTGAGTAAAATAACGCAGATAGCATTAGCGGAAACATAAACTACAGTGATAAAAATCTAAAGGGTTCATCAAATAGATTGGCTGTTGCATTTTGAATCTAAAAACAAAATTTTTGTTTTTATTACTACTTTGTTTCCTCTTCATTGTCTTTAGACAATCGCCACTTACGATATTTGGTTGTTTTCGAGAAGATCGCGAAAAAGAAATCAGCTTCCGCTTTCCCCTTGTTGTACAGCAGCAAACCTGAAGCGAACGGCGAGTTGAGATAACGCCAAAAGAAAGATTTAAAAAGTGAATGCATTTTGCTCGGCTTTTCCAGTTTTTATGCCTTTTCTATTTGATCTACTACTGTTTCTCTTCTCTAATTCTTTTATAACGGGGAGAAACCAAGTCGCCTTCACTTCTGAGTCTTTGTCTTTAGGCTATCGAAGTTATGGCTGAAACATTTTCAAATAAAGAAGAAGATATTAAATTGTAACGTAAGTCTTGCACCAAAATATACATACCGCAAGAAAACTACAGGATTGTGATCGAGTGCTTACAGCAACTTCCAAGAGGGATTTGACCTAAACCCCCGAAAAATCCGCGCCAAAAACACCATGGAAAATCGAAAAAGTTACAACTTCGTTCAAACACTAATAATTGTACACTACAAGAAGCGTCCTAAAACAGCTATTCTATGAAGTATTGAAATTCGGCAATGTGGCATAAAAAATCAAGACAAGAGAAGCTGAATTCAACTTCTCCTGAAGCAACTGCTGTGAAGGACTGAGGAACGCATTTGCACTTTGAAGTCTGGTACTATTACAATTTCCAGAGTGAGAAAAGCTGAGCATTGCTTTGACAAAAAAAGTGAAAATGTCTTCTCGATTCTAGCGGTGAAAACACAGCAACTGCATATACAAATGTTCGTTTCGGAATGCATATGTATTTGCGAGCGAGTCAGATATTTTGTACGATTTTTTTGAACAAAGTCACGATTTTCTTCGATTTTTTCCGAGTTTCAGAACCGTTGGGTTTCTTGGTTTTTGACGTATGAACTTCGAGTGCATCAAGTGATGCATCTGTTGGGCACCGTTTTTGAGCTAGCTCTGCTCTATGGAATGATATATGAGAACTGATTTAGGATATAGGAGGATTATAAGTTATCACAGTTTGTATCTTTTCTGGTGCAAGTCCTACGTTAGCTTACATTCATTGATAAGTGATGAAGGTATAGTCTGAAAAAGTTGTTAACCTGGGCCTTGGCGACAAACTCAGCAGCTGACACCGTACCGTTCATATCGGATGCAACACCATAGTCCAGAAAGTCGGTTGTACGTATATGTATGCATAAGAAATCGCTCACATTACCTCTGCAACATTCAGCCTATCTAATTGCAATTGTATCGGTGCTAGTGCCAGTCTTCTGCGATTCTTATTGTTAGACGGAAAATGCATAGTAGGCCTGATATGAAAGCTTGCTGTCACTTACTATTCGGGCTTTTTTCTATAAACTATACTTTAATAGTCAGAAATACTCTTGGAAAACGTGAGCTGAGAAAAACACTGGTACCCTCCCTTGTCAAATGAAAACTTTTGCACGAATTAAATAATGCTGCTGAGACTTTGGCAAGTCATATGAGTCTGGCATGGCTGGAATAAAATATGCAGTGTTTCAACCTCACATTTGCAATTTACGCATGTCAGCTTCTCCTCTTTCTTTTGCAATATCCGAAAAACGGAATAACTCCCTCAATTCTGGCAGATAATCTTCCAGATAGCGTGCATTTTGGGCAAATCTTTGGCTCAGCAGAATAAATTTCGCTGGGTGATCAACAAATCTGAAACTTCCAATCGTAACTATGTATATGACTTGACTGAGTTTGCACAGATTATCAAACTTTGTTCCATGACAGGGTCTTACTAGTTTCTAGTTCTTTGGATAAAAAAAACAAGGAAATCTCTTACACGACGTTCAAGAACTTGCTCCACGATGTAATTTAGTGGCGGTCGAATTTAACTCAAAAAGTATCACATAAAACCTACATCTTCCCTATAAAGCGCATGCAATCAAATCGCATTATTAAATTTACCTGGTGGGGTCCTCGTATAAGCAACACCCTTTGAAGAACCAGTCTTCGTCAGAGGCGAACTTTATCACCATTTGTTTGATATCTGCAGCCTAGATTACAAATATTATATTAGGGTGAACAGTAAAAATTGGGACACCTTGAGAATAATTGCAGATTTCTCAAGGAAGAAGTGATTGAACTTTCCAATTATGATGGATATTAGAATAAATTATTCTCTTCCATATAGTACCTATACAAGGTCATTTACACATCTAGTAACTTTTATACTTGCTCAAGTGCAAAGTTAGTCACATTGAGAAATTATAAACTTTGGGCAGTATCTGCGCAATGAAACATGTGAGACCACCCAAAGTACCACTGCCGGAGTGGGTGGTGGGACAGTCACTAAACCCACGACGGCTTGATGGCCTCAACTTTCAAAGTCAGGAGATATGGCCATTAGCAGCTTGGTGAACATAGATACGCGTTATTCAATTCTTTGCAGGTGAACCCATGTTTTCTAGGTACCACCTGATAAAGCTTTTTAAGCTCTATCCATCCATGTGCAGACTACCTCAGATTTTATCTATTTTCGGAAAATATAAAGCAAAACATGATTTTTTGGTTTTTTACTGCGCCAGAAATCGCGATTTTTTAGGTATTTCGCTTTATTTATCCAGAAATAGAAAGAAATCCTGTGTGATTAATATATTGTTTGAAAGAGCATGAAGAGCTCTTTCGAATGGTATGTCACTTCCTTTACGACTTTACGGTATAGCAGCGCAAGAATGAGCGATGTCCCAAAAACCCTGTTCGAATTCTTCAAGGCGCCAAGCGTAGGGTAGTGAAACAGAAGCGTTAACGCATTGCCAGAATAATAGGCGAAGGTCGCCCCTGTAAGCGACATTTAAGTTGCAGCTTACTTGCTGTTGCTCGAACCAAAAAATTCCAAAATGTAATATCAAGCTGTCCCATTTTTTACCGCTCACCCCTATAATTTTCCAGATTTGAGCAGAAGAAATGATCCTGAACGAAGTTCAACTTGATTGTTGCAATGCGAATGGAAACTCTCTTATGAAAAAGAAGTAGATCTATTCTTAGGACCTTGACATCTCATTTATCTCTTCAACATTTCCTACCGAGAGTTTTCAGACTCATGCACAGCTGATTGACTCACCAAATGTAGTAGAAATTACTCTAGTTTATATCAAAGTAAAGCAGTATTGGCCAAGTTGCAAATATTCATTACATTATGAAGCTGAGGTTGACATGATGTGATATGGGTCAAAATAGTAGGAACGCTAATAGAGAAACCTTATTATTTTATTGCATGAAAAGGCCAGTAAATTGCTATAAAAGTTGTCGATTTTTCTTGGCATATGGCAGATCGTTGCAACTCTTGCAAACTGGAAAGTTTCAGCTCAAGTCGGTAGTGCGCAGTTATAATCCTTGAAAACTCGGTCCGGAAAACAGAAAAAGGACTTTGAAAACTTCAACAAACAAAAGAAATCGCTCCTCTATTCACATATTGCATGTTGCTTCTCTCAAATTTGAATAAGATTTCCGTTTTCTTTAACTAAAGGCTCAGGCTGCCTAGATCTAAAATCGACTCGGTAAGAATTTCGAAGTCTCAAGCTACTTTGTAAGCATTTCAGCTCGACTGTTCTAGCATTTTATGCTAGTTAATGAGGCGACATCCACTCAAAAGCCACGCTACTGACAAGAGAGGTCAGGTAACTTGAAATCGCCTTTTAAATAGAAACAAGCTTCAGACGCTGATTCCAAATATGTGCTGTTCCTATCTGCTGCGCAGCATTTTGAAGCGAGTTATGGATTTTTTGCAAGCAAAATTTGCATGCCCTTTGACCCCGGTATTACCGTATCTCATCTAACAAAGAAAGGATACTCGGTCACCGTGGCCATTTGGAATGCGATGTATACTGTAAGATGCATCTCGAAACGCTGATTCCAAATCTGTGCTTGATATCTGCGAAACGATCTTCTGGAGGAAGTTATGAACAGGATAAAGCGGGGGGTGCGGCACGCCGCAGGGGGGGGGGGGTGGTTAGGGGGGGTAGGTAGGGGGGGGGGTCGTATCGACCCAAGGTCAAAAGCACTTGTACAAGCTGTGTGACTAAATTGACTTGATGAAAGCGCTGTTGAAATCCTGCAAAATTCAAGTTCAACGACACAAACTTGCAGATACCGTATGCCTATCGTAACCTACCTAATCTATGAGGTTTAGGCTATTGATTCATATAAATATTGTCCGGTAAAAATGTTTTTTTTTTGATATAGTTAATGGCCTGCGGCACCCCCCCCCCCCTCAAAACCTGCGGCTGCCGCAGGTTTTGAGGGGGGGGGGGGGGTGCCGCAGGCCATTAACTATATCAAAAAAACATTTTTAGCGGACAGTATTTATATGGATCGATAGCCTAGATCACCTAGTTTTCACAGGAGTGATTTGAGCCTGATTCGTCTTCTTAGCTCTGAGTAATATTTGGTGAAAGCACAGCGATCAAAAGCGAAAAATGGAAAAAACGAGATTTTGGTTGGCTTCTAATTCCACAGTTTGGAGGTCTTCTGAAGCGGGATTCCTGAGGTGGACAAAGAAGGAGTAGTGCTTTATCTTGAGTGCGAAAACAGATAGCTAATTCACCTTTGAAACAAAGTTAACCATGTTGGAATTTGACCATTTCACTTAGGTAGCCTAGTATCTTGAATCTTCAGAATTCGCTCAAACTTTGTCTACAGAGGTTAATTGACATGCTCATTATGGATATGTTGCCCATTATGTTTGACAGGGCCTCCAAGTAATGCTATCTTAAAGGCAGCGTCCACCCAGAATTTGGCCCCCCATGTTTTCGTCATTCTAGGGCCTTTCCGTGGTCCTGATTACAGTTCCGAGCTTCAAACTCACTAAAATTCACAAAAAACCCGATTCTTGGGGACCCAGTTTTGAGGGCGTGGACGAGTTTCGAATTGCTCGTCCCCGTCGGCAGGCCAGCGGGAAGGAGCTGCAACTGCATGGGTGCAGTTGCATTGCAGTGTGCAGTGTGCAGCTTCTGCTCACTACCTTGTCAATACGTGTCGGGAGGCACGTATTGACAAGGTAGTGAGCAATCCCTGATGGGCGGAGTCTGATATCAGACTCCGCCTAGCCAGGGACTTTCAGGCTCCTTATTTCCATTCAGAGACAACGTTAGAAGACCGGACCAAGCAGATGCCCCTTTTCTGGGGCCTACATTCAGGATCGACACTAATCGGAAGGGGTTAGGTTTAGCCTGGACACTGCCTTTAAGGGAGTCCAGGGGGGGTCTTATTAAGACAGCAATCAGGGGGGGGGGGGTCGTAACCAGCGATCGTGTGCCACACCCCTTGCTTGACCCTGGTTATGAACTTTTTTTCTTAAAAAATTTGCGTACTTTTGTGTAGTTAAAATCACCAAATTTGTTCTAAGTTACCATTTGAAGCTATTTAAGAAAATCTTAAAAGAAATACTGTTGTATTAAACCTATCTAAATCATATTCAACATTTGAAAAAGAAAGAAAATTTTATGAAAATTGATGATTTTGACCCTCCGCAGTAACGCAGTTTATTCTTGGAAAAATAATCATAACTCCATCCAAATTATGGTTTCGCAGATATGGAAGACAGTATTTGAACCAGCATTAAAAGCCGCTTTTTTTGATATACAAATCATTATGAATGGCCGCGGTGACCAAGTATCCTTCCCTAAGACCTAGTTTACTGTGTTAAGTTTCTTGTCAATGGCAAAAGACTCAATCTAATATTATTTTAGTATCTCACCACCGTGTCTAGGTAGACTTTCATCTACAGGAAGCCGAAGCATACAAGCATTTGATGTTGCCTACGACGTTGAAGGTGTGCAAAATCTCGTCCAAGCTTGTCAAAATAGGGTTTCAATAAATCGGCTTTTTGGGGTCCCATGTCACTTTCACTCCGTATCCGGAGTCATGCCCATGGAAAGGCCTAATAATAATAAAAACATCAAAGGCGAATATCTGAGTGGACGCTGTCTCTAAGTATACATAAAAAAACACCCACAAGCACCAATGGCACTGTTGAATTTGACCTTCCCTAGAGACAACTCTCAAAAGCACCGTCCATCCACTCAGATAATCGCCGGAGGCAGGCGGCCATGCGACTTTTGGGCAAGCGGGGACAGGAAAAATAGTTCGCTGATTTCTTGCTGTCCTCTTGCAGATATTTGAAAGAATTTTGGCGGAATTTTGGACGAATGCTCGGAGAACAGTCGTGGCGTTTTCATGGATTATTTGCGGCGCAATGGTCGCATTCTCGCGGACTCTCCGCGAGGATATGCAAAATTTTTGAGGGCCGCATGGTCCTTTGTGAAGGACCGCACAGCCGTTGGGTACTTTCCGTCGAGAGAAAGTACCCCAAATTCGGGTAATTAAACCGCTGGTGACACCTCTGCCATGTAGAGTGTTGCTTTCCCTCGGCGTACGGCCGAAACTGCTTAACAAGTGTCAGAGCGCCCGCTGAAAATTTGGCCGGCGCTTGCTGAAAGGAATTACTTGACGACCGCTTGCAGAAAATTCTGTATTGTTGCCGGCTGGCAGAACATGCGACAGCAAAGGAATTGCCGTCCGCTGAAGGTTTGGCCACGCCCCTAAATTCTGCTACCCGCCTGCAGAAAAGCGCGAGTTTGCGGGCCGCTTGCCTCCGGCGATTATCTGAGCAGATTCTCGACTTCCAGGTTCCTGTCGTTTCAGGGCAGGTTTGTCATATCCGATTCCGGATATGAGGTCGAGAAACCGCGAAAACCCCGACCCCATTTCGGCAAACCCTCAAACCGGAACGGTGATTGGTCTGCGCCTAGGAGAGCGGGCATGGATGGGTAGGGCGGTGCCATCTGGGGTCCCCGTGCATCTTCGTTATTCAAGAGTGATTTTCTCCGCTTCCGAAGCGACATTATGGGCCGCGACTTGGGCAATGACTTGATAGGGGGTCTTACTATCATATGCTGCCAGAAGCTGACCCTCAACTTATGGTGGACGATGCCTTTAAGGGGTACACCATGAGGCCAAAATACTAACGGACAAGCAATACCACGGGAAAAGTCAGCGGCCAACTGCTTCTGCCGATATTTGCACACAAAAATTCGATAGTATTTCTCTACACGTGGTTATTAGATACATGTTGTACAACAAAAACACCAATTACCTGGAAAATTTTGTACATTTGCACAGTCTTCGGAAATGTCTCAGCTATGTTCTTGAGATAATAGCGCACTTTTCTTCGTGACTCTATCATTGGATAATAAAATGTTCGTTGAGCCTTTCGTGCAATTCCATATCCCGCGGCTAAGTGGAATAACTGGAAACTTCTTGCCAATAAATGTTGAAGGCAGCGTCCAGGCAAGTCTGGACACATGGGGATCACACGTATGTAGTAATTTTGAGGCCCTAACTAAGCCACTGCCCAACTAGCAGCTCAGGTACTCTAAAGGCTGCGATATACCCCTCGAAACTGGACCGCGATCGTATTTCGCGTAGATTCGCGGCGCAAAGCGTGGATCCTGGCGCGAGACTGCCATGAATCCATGCGAATACGATCGCGGGGTCCAGTTTCGAGGGGAATATCCCAACCTCTAGAGCAATACCTGCGCTGCCGCTTGGGCAGTGCTTTAGTTAGGGCCCCAAAAGTACTTGTCACGTAAAATCCCCATAGGTTCAGATCTGCCTGGACGCTGCCTCTAAGTATTCGGCAGAACTCATACCTGATTACCAAGTCGTTGCTGATTCACCGTAAGAGCAATAAATCTTTCCTCTCTATGACAACTGTTGTGCGTTTTGAGGAAAAAATGAGATTGTGAGAATAGCAAAAGAATGAATAGTGTTGCTGACGCAATTGGCTCAAGCAATGTAGCCATGAAGATTTTCTATAAGGAGCGCTGTCTAAGTGGAATGTTAAGGGCATTTTTTGATAGAAAGACTTTGGGCATACAAGCCCAAAGTCTTTCTGTCACAATGCATATGTCCAATAGCACCAAAAAAAAATTTTTTTTGCACGTAAGGGAGAAAGGTATGGGACAAATTTTCAGGTGTGTTTCGGATAAGTGAGTTAGTCTAGTAGTCTGGAGTAAGTTTCTCAGTTGCTGCATGTTGGTTCCATGAAAAAATTAGATAATTCCTTTTTATAGAAAACTAGCTGGCTTAGCCGGCTCCGCCGTATCCGGACCAAACTTGGCACACATACACTTCGGACCCCGGCGGGTGTCACAGTCCACTTTTCGTTATCGATCGATGTCGATTTTACCGATTTTTATCGATTTTTTGCAGAGTTCACCTACAGGGCTAGGAGTTGGCACAGCATGGGGATTCCGTGAGCATGGGGATTCCGAATACAATATTAGTTTTCAGAATTATCGATTACTTTTATTGATTTTATCGATTTTTTGTAAATTTTGACATGCGAGGCTGGGATTTTGCACAGGGGGGTAATCGAGCATGCTGATTACGAACACAATATTAGTTTTCAGGATCGTCCATTACTTTTATCGATTTTATCGATTTTTTTGTAAAGTTTGACCTGCGGGGCTGGGAGTTTGCACAGGGGGGGGGTAATCAAGCATGCAGATTACGAATACAATATTAGTTTTCAAGATCGTCCATTACTTTTATCGATTTTATCGATTTTTTGAAAATTTGAGCTAGGGGGCTGGAATTTGGCACAGGGGTGTAATCGAGCATGCTGATCACCCCCCTTGGGGATGATCAGCATGCTCGATTACCCCCCTGTGCCAACTCCCAGCCCCCTAGCTCAAACTTTGCAAAAAATCGATAAAATCGATAAAAGTAATCGATAATCCCGAAAACCAATATTGTATTCGGAATCCCCATGCTCGATTACCCCCCTGTGCCAACTCCCAGCCCCGTAGCTCAAACTTTGCAAAAAAATCGATAAAATCGATAAAAGTAATCGATAATCCTGAAAACCAATATTGTATTCGGAATCTCCATGCTCGATTACTCCCCTGTGCCAACTCCCAGCCCCGTAGGTGAACTCAGCAAAAAAATCGATAAAAATCGATAAAATCGATATCGATCGATGACGAAAAGTAGCCTTTGACACCCGCCGGGGCCCGAAAGGTATGTGTGCCAAGTTTGGTCCCGATCGGTTCAGAAATGGAATTTTCTATTCGGAACATACGTACACAGACATACAGACATACATACAAACAGACATTCAGCTTTATATATAAGATTAACTCATACATTCAAAACTGATCAGTACATTGCAGTCGTTATATCGAAGGGAAAGTGAATTATCTCCTGTGCAAAAGTTTATATGCTTAGGGAGCATGTGTTCGCATTGAATGCTGTAATGAATGTTCGCATTGAATGTTCGCATTGAATGCTCCTCGATATTTGATGTCGAAATTTAGGGCGGTTTACTTTCGCCACTCTCACAAAAGAATCAAAAATTATACTCAGCACCTCCGCTTTGAGATGTGTATGCTATATGTATGCTATGCGCTTGAAGTTAGCTGCTTGTGCTGTCAAGAAATGCAGTTCTTCTATTTTAGTAGGCAGACAGATCTATATCATACCTTTACACCACCTCACGCACAGATTCGAGAATATTAACGCAGAAATCTAGCAAAAATCTGGAAACAAGATGTACAAGTGCTTTGATGTCTTTTTTGAAAAAGAATTGCGCCTAGCACGATGTGCTTTTTGTTGCGATCTAATGCAAGATTAACTCAATTCCCTAGAAAGAGTTTCTGACTTGCAGAAAATGATGCTTCCAGATTGTATTAGATGTCAATGGACCCTTGTCTGCTTAGATCTAATCAATATAAATCTATAAACAGCAGGTTATCTTGGGTACGTTACTGTTGTCACATTTCATGTAATTGCCGAGTTACACTTTTGAAAATGAGCGAAGAACTTTTGTGCTAACCTAATGCAAGACTAAGGGCCGCATGCACTAACCTCCCCGCTGGGGAGGGGGTTGCAGCTTAAAAGAAAGCTTTATATTCTGAAGCTCCAGATATCTGGATTTCACGTTGTGTACCCAACTGTAAGTATTCCTACTACCCTTCACTATGAATATGTTGAACAGGAGCGAGAAGCTGTACAATCCGCATTTTCCAGCTTTTGTATGACCCCTGATGATCCCCGGCGCTTTTCTTTAAAGTCATTTTTCTTTCTCCGAAGTTGACGAAGACCTTTCAAAGTTGTACTGAACATCTAACACAACAGTGCTAGGTATGAAAATTTCATGACGTCAAAGCATCATTTGTTCTTATCAGCAACATGCTTAGCACTGTCGGGTTAGACAATCTGCACAACTTTGGAGGTTTTTCGTTACCTTCGGAGAAAGAAAAATGACTTTAAAGAAAAGCGCCGGGGATCATCAGGGATCATACAAAAGCTGGAAAATGCGGTTCGTACAGCTTCTCGCTCCTCTTCAACATGTTCATAGTGAAGTAGTAGAAATACTTATGAATAGGTACACAAGTTGAAATCCAGGTATCTGGTGTTTCGAAATATAAAGCTTTCTTTTAAGCTGCGATCCCCTCCCCGCGGGGATATTAGTGCATGCGGCCCTAAGTGGATATTTTGCCATTTTAGGCCCGTATGCACGTACATCCCCGCTGGGGAGGAGAGGGTATCTGAGAGGGGACGCGTCGTATCTCGCTACTCTACGTATCTTTCTTCTTCCTTCTCTGTCTGGTTTATAAAGATTTTAATACCCTTACACCTGCGCCTAATGGATGCCAGCTTACTTTCATACAAGATTGATTTTTTGCCATTTTTTGTGATCTCAGGGGATCACCTCTCATTTCCAAAGTCATTTATCTTTCTGATAAGTCAATGTGCTGAGAATATACTACGGCACTGCTAAACGTGTTTATAGCAGAAATAAGTAAAATCTCAGGATATCGAAATTTCCGATGAACCGTTGCTCGCGAGCCAGGGATCATCGAAGAATTCACAATCTTCAGATTTCAGTTCTTCTGTCCAAAATATGCTTAGCGGTGCCGTAGTATATTCTCAGTACAATTTTACAGCTTTTTCATTGACTTCTCAGAAATGTAAATCACTTTGAAAATGAGAGGTGATCCCTGGGGGATCCTCTAGGGAGTCCCTGAGGATCACACAAAATGGCAAAAAAATCTTGTATGGAAGTAACCTGGCATCCATTATGCGCAGGTATAAGAGTATGAGACCTCATAAACAATATAGAGAAAGAAGAAGAAAGATATGTAGAGTAGCGAGATATGACGCATCTCCTCTCAAATCCCCCTCCCCTCCCCAGCGGGGATGTACGTGCATACAGGCCTTAATGAGCGACAGCAGCATTCCAGATTGGAGAGTAGCGTCAATGTTTGCCCACTGGTGAAGGGCCAATGACGAATGGCTCATAGGCAAGAGGGCGCACCATGATGATTCCAAAATTTCGACTTGAAAGTATGGCTGTAATCAAAGTGAGTTCAAATACAAGGATCTTATATTTTCCAAATATCCCAAAATGATCGCGTTAGGTAAACTTGAATTCAGTTCCTTGTGAGTGCAGTTTGAGCCCCATTTCAACTCTTTAATTCAAATTCGTGGTTACCGCTCCAGAACGTGATCCCGTTCTTGCAAAAATACTTTTGCCTCAATCGTGCATTTTTTCCAGGCCTTTGTAATAACATATTACCAAACAAGTGTAATAAATTCACATGGTGTAAAACGTGCATTTTACGATAGTTTTGATGTAGGAGTGAGCACCGCATAGGTGCAACGTGGTCGTCCATTCAACAATTGGACGTAGAACTGATTATAGCAGTTTATTCAGGATAGAACTGTGAAGTATTTCTTGCGGCTAACGGATTTTTCTTATATTTCTCCTACCATTCGACTAGATTCAGAAAAGCGGTAATTTTATAAGACCAGCTATTGCTAATTCAAATTGCCCACTATCAATTGGGACACATTTGAAATACCGAAAGGCAATATTGCGGCAATAAATTTTCTGAACTCAGACAATCAAAGGCTCAGCCGGCCCCACCAAAAGTACCGAGCAAGCCGCCATTGCCTTATTGCCTCACTGTCGCTTCCCGCTGTAAACTTTGCTAGAACTGGCAGCAAACGAACTGCCATAAAGTCTTCAGCGCGAAGCGAAATTGGCGGTGATAAGGCACGGTGGAGGACCGCACAGCCCTCAGGTACTTTCCGCTAAGAGAAAGTACCTCAAACTTGAGTAAATAAACCGACGGTGGCACCTCTGCCACACAGAGTCTTACCTGAGTTCGACGTAAGCCCGAAACCGCGTAAAAAAAGTCCAAGCGCCAGCTGAGAGTTCGGGCAGCGTTTGCTGAAAGAGATTATTTGACGAGCGCCTGCAGAAAATTCCGTGTTGCTGCCCGCTGGCAGAACATTAGACAGTGAAGGAAGTACCGCTCGCTGAAGGTTTGGCCACGCCCCCTAATTCTGCTGACCGCTTGCAGAAAAGCGCGAGTTTGCGGACCGCCTTCCCCCGGCGATTATCTGAGTATACACACAGACTCTACCAGCCCCGTCTATTTCCATTGAGAGGGCGGGACTGGTTAAGTTTTGAAGCGCATTTTTCGGGACATAGCGCATGAATTTGCAGGTGGAGTTTGGGCTACAGTGTACTTGGAAGGTCTACTACCAATTCCACCAATTCGAGAAGGGTCCATTCTGCTGACCCACTGCCTTTGATTACCCGAGTTTGGGGTACTTTCTTTGAGCGGAAGGTACCTACGGGCTGTGCGGTCCTTCACAAAGAACCCTCAATAATTTTGCATATTCTCGCGGAAAGTCCGCGAGAATGCGGCCACCGCGACTAATCTAAGAAGAAGCCGCAACTGTTCTCCGAGCATTCGTCGAAAATTTCGCCAATTTTCTTCCAAATATCTGCAAACGGATTGCAAAATCAGAGAACAATTTTTCCAGTGCCCGCCTGCCCCCGGCGATTCTCTGAGCACTTGTTAGCGACATTAAGGTCGCTAGTATATGTATTCACTCGTTATGAAAACGTCAGAACGTCTAACTTAATAGCTATCCTTTGATTTATCGGAGAGGGGGGGGGGAAGGCGATCGCTCGCGAGAAAGACGCGAAATGTGTCTCTCTCGCGAGCGTGCCCTCTAATCATTCCCTAAGCTTTATCAGCAATTGAAACCCGCCTTCCACCGCCACTCCCGATGAATCAAAGGCCACTTTCCACACGGTGCAAATGCGCCGTACTATATAATCACCGAGATGTGGGTAGAGGAAGGGATATGGGGGTAGTACTATATGTCGTAGAAAGGGTCCCACGCAGACATCTCCCACAAATCCGGCAGCTGTATGCACCATAGACATAACAGAATTGGGACATGTCCGCGCCGAAAGGAGATTGGCGAGATATAGCCTCCTCACGAAATGTTTGATACCTGATACCACAAAGAAGTTCACCAACGCTTAGCTGACAGCGGCAAGGGACTTGTGATATAAATTTATTTAAGGATGCCCGTGTCAAACTAGCAGAACAACAAATGCTATGCACAATCTAAGCGACTTTCAAGGCAATGAGATCCATGCAATGATACAAGGAGTTGGACAATCAACATAATAATAGAAGGTATACATGAACCAATTTTAGACGAGCTTATTCACCGAAAATCACAACACAGCACCGAAAGGAGGCGGAAGGCATGGATACAGAGAGGAAAGCAAACGGAAAGGTATTTTTACCCCGAGAGCGCGAAAGTGATACAACCATCAGAAACTTCAACTCGAAGCTCTTGTTCGTCTATGTTTCGAAGTATATAACCATTTCGAGCGTCAATATACTGAACGGCATTTAAAACGGAATCTGCATCCGCCGCCCATTCGGCATCAGAATACATGTGAAAGTGCAGAATCTCCATACTTGCGCTCTCCCAATCCTAAAAAAATACCGTGTAATTCGCATAACAGCTTATACGCGACTAAGCGAATGTTAAGGCTTCACCTCTCTCTCTCCAAAGTCAGTTTTTCACCCAAAGAATGTCCTTATAAATGCACCTAATAATTTCACCTATCTCCCGCATACCCACTGTAACTCGAGGAAATGGCACTACCGTACAAAATCAATAGAAAATCCATGTTCAGCGTGCTAAGACTCCTCCATACCACATTCCAGCCAAATCCAGAATTCGACCCCTTGCCATATAACCCACCGTAACCATACAATGAAAAGTTTTCGTGCACAAAAAGTGTGGCATTCATGATAAGCATGTCGAGTAACCCTCTATGCAAAGTTTCAGCAAATTCCGAGATTTTGGCCCCATAGCGTATGCCTACTATAGCCCTTCAAAAAAGTTTCCCCATGCAATATGAACTCCATTTTCATGATCAGCAAGCCGACTAACACCCAAAGCGAATTTCCAGCAAACTCCATGATTTTCAATTTTTTTCCTCTTCAAAAATTTTTTGAGATGCTTCCCTGCTTTTTAGTGGGGTCATGACCCGAACTATTTGAAAAAAGCATGGCTTCGGCAACATCGGACTTCTTCACAAGACTGGTTCCAATTTTTGAAAAATTCGCAAAAAATTCTAATTATTTGCAGGTAGAGAAAACCCTTGCACAAGCCCCCCCCCCCGGTCGCCCATATTTGAAGCACGAAGCACGCACATTTCGAAAACAAGCGTCTACCGTGCATTATCTGCCAATCAACGGTTATAGTATACACCAGTGCGTCACCTCTGCTTCGCAGAGGCTCGCACTGGTCGTACTTCATATGCCTTACTCATTCTTGACTAATGGTGGCAATGAAACTCACCACGCAGTGCCGATTATCGCGAGTAAAATGTAAACAACTACCCATTTAAAATGCTTTTTCATGTGAAATCGGTGATTTCGCGTGGATGAAACCTTTCGCAAAAGAACAAATACGAATTTCAATAGGTTTTTAGACTCTTTTTGGCTTGGTAGCTACCATAAGGACAGTAGGCAACGTGAGCTACATCTCTGTGCAAAATTTTTCTCGAATGCTCAGGTAAAACCATGGCAAAATAATCATTTACGCAACCATTTCTTTTTGGCGTCGCTCTCCCAAAGTAGTGAACTTTTGTCCACTTTTTTGCACTAAAGTCCATGGCTTGCACATCAGCATGCCAAACACATCCCCGAGTTTGCAAAAAGTGGTGACACGGAACCAATTTTGCTGGCCAGAACCCAAGTGGTTCCGTTTGACGCGCAGTTTCTGAGGGATCCAACCAACAAAACCACTCATGCTTTTGCACGGTAGGCTCTTATGTTGGTCGCATGCGATGTGCAAAATTTGGGCTCACGACGTTGGCTGGAACTCGCTCTACGAATTTCGTTACAGACAGACACACAGACATACATACACACACACAAAAACACGTAAACAACCTTAGCCCGTTATTATAAGTTATGATACTACATGTAGACGCGTCGCGAAACTGCGAAAAGACGAGTGTTATATCCTGTGTCCTCAGAAAAGTTCCCATGTGAACCAGCGTGCGTACGTGGTGCGACGCTGCCTTTCGCTCTTTTTGACACTTTTCTCCTGAGATTCCAACGGAATCTACCGACCGATCCGACTCATGTGCCATACGATGAAAATCTTCGAGAGAATACTGGAAACGAGGCTTCGAAGTATCGTGGAGTTGGCCCCCAACCAGTGCGGATTCGTAAAGGGTTGCAGTACAATAGACGCCATACATACCGTCCGAATGATGATGGAAAGAAGCCGAGAAAAGCAATGTAAGCTACACGCGGCATTCCTTGACCTGGAGAAGGCTTTCGATAAAGTACCGCACGACGTAATATGGTGGGCACTGCGGAAGCACGAAGTACCTGAAGAATACGTCCAATGGATCAAAATGATATACAAAGGTGCCACCAGCCATGTACGAACAGCAGCAGGACGCTCAGATGACTTCCAGATAAGCGTTGGGGTGCATCAAGGATCCGTACTCTCGCCCCTACTCTTCATCACTGTACTGGACACGATCGTCAGAAGCTTCATACGCCAACCTCCTTGGACCGTAATGTACGCAGATGACGTGATTCTGATGGCAAGAACCAGAAAAGAATTAGAGAAAGATGTACAGATGTGGAAGAGACAACTCGAGCTACACGGTCTGAAGATCAATACCACGAAGACAGAATACATGGAGCTGGGACCCCAAACGCCGGGAACGATTCAGATCGCAAGTACAGCAACAAAGAAGACAACGTCCTTCAAATATCTGGGCAGTCACATCTCGGCAGACGGTACGCTTCAAGATGAAATTACCAGCCGGATAAGCGCAGCTTGGTTGAAATGGAGAAGCCTTACTGGGATTCTGTGCGACAAACGGATGCCGCTCAAGTTGAAGTCACAGATGTACCGCACTGTAGTACGCCCCACTGCTCTATACGGAAGTGAGTGTTGGCCGTGCACGCGTAAGGAAGAACGGAAGCTTGGTGTGATGGAAATGCGTATGCTAAGGTGGACGATGGGTATCACAATGCTTGACCATGTCACGAACGAAACCATACGAACAAGGATGAAAGTTGCCCCGATAACCAAGAAGATGCAAGAAAAGCGGCTTAGATGGTACGGGCATGTGAGAAGACGAGACGAAGACCACATCACCAGATCAGCGATGAAAGTAGAGGTTCCTGGAAGAAGACCAAGAGGTAGACCGAAGATGCGTTGGACAGATCGAATCAAAGCAGACTTGAGAGAACTTGAGATAGACGAAGAACAAGTCGTAGATCGTGAAGCCTGGAGAAGACTAACAAGAGTAGCAGACCCCGTATAGGGAAAGATGCAAGGATAAAAAAAAATTCCAACGGAACTGCCCGAAGTCAACGCGTTTAAAAAAGCGAAAGGCAGCGAGATGACGTGGTACCTATGGGAATCTTGCTGGAGAACAAACGATACGTCGAATGCGTGCACTCCTACCATACACCTCGTCCGTGCTAGTGGTCCGGCGCGACGCATCGCTGACCGTTTCTTGCTAGCCCAGCTAGCGAAATCTTCGCGATTTTCGCTCATCTCAGCGGATTCGCGACGCTCGTCTGAAGTAAGCGACGCGATGGTATCGCTAGGACTGGCATTTGTAGCCAAACGGCTGTGTGACCGTTCTTCACTTTCTCAAGCTGGTTCTTTTGTCAGCAGACTGAAAACTGATCAAGTGTTGTCGAAATGGGTTATTTGTAAAATGCTTTTGTACTATCCGAGGTTTGTCCATCCTGTTTTTTTCTTGGTGGATGGCCCAACTAAACGATCGATTTGATCTGACATTATGATTCGATCATTAGATCGCACAGAAACCGTTGACAACTATACAACTTCACCCACTTGCAAAGAAGGTATGGTGCATCCCCCAGAATTGTTCCCATATGAACCACCAACGTGGCTGTCTTTCGGTCATCTAAACATTTCAACTTCGAAGAAGCGAATTTGCTGCTCCATGTCAGGAGTCACGCCGCGCGCCGCGCCGCTTCGCCGCGCACGTGGCGTCTAAATTTTGTACCCCATAAAACTGCCCGGTGTTAAAGTGGCACGGCGCCAGTCTAGGGGGGAGGGTGGGGGTGGGGGCAGATACATGGCTCGTGTCATAAATAAGACTGCGCCAGGAGTGCTGGCTTCTGTTTTGCTGACATCGCTTGCGGCATCGCTTCGCGAAAAATTCGCGCCGACCGTGACTCTTGACGGTTGCCGAGTTTGCTAAAGTTAACATGTTAAAGGCAGTGGATCGGCAAAATGAACCCCTATGAGATTTTGGTGCTGTTAGGTAGCAGGCCTCCTAAGTACACCGTAGCCCAAACCTCACCCTCCGAATCACGCGCTAAGTTCTGTAAAGAAGCTTCGAACTTGCACCAATAACGCCCACTCAATGGAAGTGGGCGGGGCTGGTGGAGTTTTGAAGCTTTTTTTACAAAACTTAGCGCGTGATTTGGAGAGTGGGATTTGGGCTACGGTGTACTCAGGAGGCCTGCTACCTAACAGTACCAAAATCTGACAGGGGTCCATTCTGCTGATCCACTGCTTAAAGGCAGCGTCCAGGCAGGTCTGGAACGTAGGGATCTCACGTGAATAGTAATTTTGGGGCCCTAACTAAGCCACTGCCCAACCGGCAGCTCAAGTAGTGCTCTAACGACTGAGATAATCTCCTCGAAACTGGACCCCGCGATCGTATTTCGCATAGATTCATGGCGCAAATCGTGTGTCCTGGCGCGAAACTGCCATGAATCCATGCGAATACGATCGCGGGGTCTAGTTTCGAGAGGAACATCTCAGCGGTTAGAGCAATACCTGCGCTGCCGCTTGGGCAGTGCCTTAGCTAGGGCCCCAAAAGTACTTTCCACATCAGAACCCCTGTATGTCCAGATTTGCCTGGACGCTGCCTTTAAAGCGATCGAAGGGCAGCCACGTTAATGGTTCATATGGGAACAATTTTGGGGTATGCACGATAATTTCAACCAAAAATATATATATACTGGTACCGCTTAAAACGCGTTCCGCGTCAACGATGTGCTCGCCTTCCAACAGGCTTGAGAACAACGCCAGAGCCCGTGTTGTCTACGCGGTCACGGGATCTGAGTATTTAAATTAGCCGCATCGATAGGAAACGCTGCGCAATGTCCATGCGCTGCGGATGCGTTGTTGCTACGGAAAAGGGAATACGTAGTTGGCACTGCCTGTATAAGTCTGGACATCATTCAAAAGGTAAGTACCGAATATGATAATTGAAAACTCTGCCTTCATTACATTGTGCCCCTTGTATAAGAGCGCGGGGAGATTATCCGATGAGACTATCTATGATTCGTGGAATGTGCGAGAATGAAAATGCACAAACCACTGCAGTGATGTGCCCATGTCCGAGTGATTAGCGACCCCGTAACGCGTTTTCGCAGCTGGTTACTAGCCGATCGCGACCATTAGAATTCGCAACAATCTTATCGCTCGAGGTATGCCCGACCCCTTCGTCGCGCCAATACTAAAAGCAGCACGTGCCTTTTACTACGGATTTGTCACGGTCCGACAGGAGGCCTTAACGCTACTCTCTCCTTTTTTGATTGACAAAGCCAAAACTTACCGCTAACAGTCTACAAACTCCGTGCAGATCAATTGGCATGTCGTAAAGAAACGGATCTACCATGATGCCACTCATGATGTCGTCTCCATTCGAAAAAATGAAAACACATCGAAGCTGTAAAAATACCTCAAAAAAAAAAGTCATATCTAGAGCAAACAAGGACCTACCCTTTGAATAGCAGGGTCATTCAAGAGTCTCTTGCCAAAATCACCCATATCATATACATCGATGGCCAGAGACTCAACATGCGCGCTTTTGATGAACGCGATCAACTCCTCCGGCTCACAGCTACATAGACAGTTGTGAATCACAATTGCCTTGACTGTTATTCGTGATTGGCGCAATGTGTGCGCGAGATTGGAGAGGATGGACGATGTTATTACGCCCTAAACCAAAATTGTTCAGTTATGCAGGATGCGGTGCGGGAGGGGGGGGGGACCAAAGCCCTGCCGCCCGTAGCCGTAGGAGATAATTAGGAGCGCGAGCGCTGTGTATAAAATTTTGGCGAGGATCCAGGAACAGGGCTCGGCAGGAGCTGGCTAAATAAAAATGCAGAAAACGAAGTCCCCCTTGACTTTTGGGATTTTTTACGAAGTCCCCTTTGACCCTATACAATATTCCCTAAAAAATCCCTAAAAATTCTCCAAAAAACGAAACGTCGACTTAAAAAAACGTTGCCAATTTTGCGTGTCTTCGTCCATAAAAACGAAACCCCCTTTGCTTTTTGTCTCAAAAACGATATCCAGCTTGCTTGTAAGCCACCTGTGCCAAGCCCTATTCAAACATAGCGAGGATACCTACTACAAACAAACACTTATATCTCTCCTTGAAATTAACTTTCAAGAAGAGTTATAAGGGTTACTTATAAGGAGATGTTATAAGTTATAAGAATACGAAGGATTTGGAATCAGTACTAAAATGCGCATTTTGCAGTGATAGGCCTCTGTCTCGATACTCGATTTCTATTTTTACCAAAATTGGGCCTCCAAAAACCACCATTAAAACTAGGGATTTGAAGTTCGATGTTGTGTGAAAGATTTTAAGTGAATTCCTTTAGAGAAATCTGGATTCGAAGTTGAAAGTAAGGAATGGTAATCAGGAAATAATGTTAACCAAATTGCTTGTGATGAACTTTTGCTATTGTACAGCCTCGAAAGGATGCCGACAGTTTCATTGGCAAATCCTATGAAATCTCTGGCAAAAGTTAGAATTAGAATAGGTTTGAAGTTATGAGGTAAACTGCATATTGCATCTTGACACAGGCCTCCAGATGTTTTTCTTAATGATATTTTGATTGCTTTGGTTTAATGACCCAAAAGGCACACTATCGCTTTATCTCAAAGAAAAAAATGGATTTTGAAAGAAAATTCCGGTCTTCAACAATTTGAAACTTCAAAATTTCATGGAACGAAAACTTTCTGTAAGGAAGTTAACTTTTCTTACCACTACAATTCCCAACTTTCACATTTTTAGGCCCAGTGAATGCGCTTTCCAATTTGCATCACAAACCTGTTTCTAAATTTTTCAAAAACATTTGCAGACAAAGTCATGAAGATTTGTTCCTAAAGGATGTCTTTTCCAAGTTCTCTTGGATCCTTGCCAAACTATTCTCCACATTGCGCTTTTAATTATCGTCTGCCGATAAAGGCGGCAGCCATTTGGATCCTACTGCACCACGTCCAGTTATGCACGCTTTATACTTACTAATTGACCCACTTGACGCATCTGATCTATTTCGCTATACCTGGTCAAGTCAATAAACTGATCAATGAAGCGATGTCCTCTTAAACTTCATCCACTTGCTATTGGTCAGTTCAGTGATTTGATCAATAGCGAAGAGGATGAATTGGATCAAGCGATCAAATGGATCAAGTACGGTGTGCGCCTTAGGCCTAAGGCACACCTCAAGCGATTCTAGTCGCTGCGCGATTCGATACATAGGCGACTGTTCGTATATAATCGTTTTCGCCCCGTAATCAGCGTTTTAAGCTGCATCTAATGGTATGCAGCTTGTTTGGATTGGCCACTTCGACTTCTGACCATTCCCTTGTTAGTTCGCTGATCTAATCAATAGCGAAATCCAATAAGTGGTTGAAGCAGATCAAATCTAGCGCCTGAAGTTCTACTGCAGGACGAAAGCAGATGACTCATTTGCGAGAAGCGGTTTTACTCGAACGCTCAACAGCGGCAAAGCCGGCAGTGTACGGTCGATTTAAAGCGTTTTCCAACTTCCAAGGTCTGCACGCTGATTTTTGGCAATGCATATAATTATACATTATGACAGGATCTGAGGACGGCTTTTGGCAATGGTGTAACGCCTTTCAAATGCCATAATTTTCCGAGAGTGAAAGGTTTAGGATCACTATCTCTTTATGGCAAGAAGCTCTAACAAGGAAACGATACTCGGTGTCCGCGGCCTTTTGAGATGAGTTGTATACCATTACACTCGTCTTGGAACGCTGATTCCGAATCTGGCTTCCGTTTCTGCTAATCGCTTCAAAGATGTTGTAAAGGATTCTGCGGGCTTTGGCTGTCCACTGAAATATGTTCAAAGCAGCAACATTGACGGTGCGTGTGGTCTAGTGGTTAGCGCGATAGGCTCGTGAATTGATGCAGGCGTAGGTTCGAATCCCTTTGTGTTTTTTCAGTTTTGCGTTGCCTCAATAAACCTTCTTTCGCATCTTCGAAACTGAACGCCTTACTCTCCAAAAAATGTGGAAATTTGGAAAAAATTGACTATTTGCGTTAAAATTTATCCAATGACCATAATTCGAGTGAATCTCGAACAACTTTAATTGAGATAGGCAAAATAAAAACCAAAAGGATTTGAACCTTCACCTGTATCAAGTTATGAGGCTATCACACTAACCACTCAATAACATGGCGCCGGTAGAGGCCGTTCTGGTGACCATACCGTTGGGCGGATAAAGTTGGCTCGAAATTCCTCCACAGCTTCCTTCAGAAAACGATTAGCAGAAACGGAAGTCAGATTCGGAATCAGTGTTTGAAGGCGAGTGTAATGGTATACATCTCGTCTCAAAAGGCCACGGACATTGAGTATCGTTCCCTTGTAAGCATATTAGTCACATCCAAGGTGAAGTATTTTCAGGACTCTAATGTAAGCTAAGTTGATCTGGCACACATGTTCAAAAGCTAAAGGATCCTAACCTTCTGCGCCGTGTCTATCGACTTTAATTCTGAAGAAGCTTTTTCAATTAGTTTTACGTGAAGCAGGCGCCCGACTTATTTATTTAGCCACTTCATCCACTTCGCTAGAGATCAGATCTGGTTTGACCGATAATGAAGTGGATGAAAGAAGGGCGCGGCTAAGCGTCTGGCTCTCGCCTACCACAAACCTCGTAAATTCTACGATAGTGCTTGAGCTTTCTTACTTGTTTTGCCTTCTGTCCTCAAAACTAAGTTTGAGTGTTAATGAAGCTTTTTAGACGATAAAAACACCAAAAATTGTAGCAGGCAATGTTTTTTAAAGTCCGCGAAGGTGATTTGACGTGTTGATCAACACACTCCTTCTACACAGTCAGGCCTGTTTGGTGAGATTATGGTACGTACGTAAAAGCGCATCGGAATTCATTGCAATGTATAGTGAACCTATGTATGCTGATCAGAACAACATACTCATTCTTTGAAGATGTGACATGTACCGGTATAACGTTTTTCTTCTTCACCATATCGAACGCAACAATTTCTTCATACTTACACGGAAAGGATACTCGGTGACCGTGGCCTTTTGCAATGGGATGTATACTAGTAGATGCGTCTTGAAACGCTGATTTCAAATCTGTGTTCATTATCTGCTTTGCGACTCTCTGAATGAAGTTATGGACTTTTTTCCATATAACTTTCGCGAAGTCTAGGCAGTCATCTATCAGTATTCAGGCTTTTTAGATTCTGATATGTCGGAGACAGTTTTTCTGAGCCTAATGCAAAGCTGTATTTAGTTTCGACGTTTTTTTTTGTAGTGCGTAATGAACATTCTATTTTGGTGATTTCTGTCATAAAAACAGTGCAAATTCTGGTGGCAAGAAATATTCATAACTTCTTTCGAAAGAGCGCACAGCAAATACCGAAAGCAGGTTTGGAATCAGCGCGCCAAAATGCATTTAATGGGGTGCGTAGCAAGTGGTACCCAGACAGCCGACTGCTGCCGCAGCCAGCCGCCAGAGCTGCCGGCAAAGCCGCTGCAGATGGTACAGTAATTACGCTCGTCGTCTAAAACTCTTGCCGAGAGGTCTTCTCGCACCTCGTCGCTCTGAGGTGCGAAATCAGTCTTCTCGCACCTCGTCGCTCTGAGGTGCGAGAAAACCTTTCGGCAAGAGTTTTAGACCACGAGCGTAATTACTGTTCTGCAGCGGCTTTGCCGGCAGCTCTGGCGGCTGGCTGCGGCAGCATCGGCTGCCTAGGTACCACTTGCACGCCTCCCCATTTAATGATGTACCTTTCATTTCAGAAGCCCACGGTCACCAAGTATCCTTCCCTTGTTAGACATCTTTCTCCAATCCCCCGGAGGTGCGCGCCTGACCCCAAGCTTTACATAGCTCAATATCGCCTTCAGTAGGACAACGTTGGACAGATTTTCAAGACTAGTGGATGGATAAACGATCATAAGCTTACTCACGTAAAACAGGACGAGCCGCGATATGATAACATTAGTGAAAGAGCGCAGCTTTCTTTTGTAATTAAAATACAGACCCCATACTTCATCGCAGCCCTGCAAACACAACTAATAGAGATATGAATTTGAAACGGCGCGATCAACGTACTGGTATAAAGTCAATGGATCCAATCTTTCGCGGCGACAGGCTGTGCCAGTTCTTCTCTATGAGGTCGTTGATCCAGCGGCAGGTAAGACGACATGAATTTAAATCTCGCAATGACAACTGAAAACTATTCCATAAGGAAACTGCACACTGAATATGTGCATCTAGCAAACTCTTGTGTTATTTATCGCATAATGTGTTATTTACTAGATCCGAAATCTGCCTTATTGGCCCCAGGTATGCTGAACGCGAATATGATGTTCATTTCGTGCGACAGCGCCATCCGGTGGAGTTACGGTAGGATTAGGGTAGGGGGGTCAAAATCACGGATTTGCCCGAAACTTGGCCCAGAGAAGTTATTCGGCCCGCTGATGCTGAATATCACATTGGTTTTGTACCGGAGCGTCATTTTCTCGGGTTACAGTGGGTATACGGTAGGGGGTTGAAATCTCAGAATCCGCCGTAACTTCGCATAGAGGGGTTATTCGACATGCTCATTGGAAATGTCACACTTTCACCGCACGAAAACGTCTCCCTGCATGGTTACGGTAGGTTTACGGTAGGGGGTCAAAATCACAAATCGACAAATGTGTCTTTCCCTGTGCTTTTGCTTAGGCAAAAGCCGCAGCAGGGTGTGCAGCGCGCCGGTGGTCGTATGTGCAAAGCTTCACGATCGTCCGAATCGCCGTACACCCGTTTCAAAACGAACTATGTTTTACACCCTTTACCGTATAGCTACCCTAACCCGAGGAAATGACGCTACGGTTCAAAACCAATGTGATATTTGGCATCAGCGGGCCGAATAACCCCTCTGGGCCAAGTTTCGGGCAAATCCGTGATTTTGATCCCTTACCGTAGTCCTACCGCAACTCCACCGGATGGCGTTGTCGCACGAAATAAACATCATATTCGTGTTCAGCATGTCGTAGACGAAGTTTTAGCGAAATTCACAATTTTTATTTTTTTGGTCAACTAATGTGAAATAGTACCCAATTTTGGATTCTTGCCATCTCTACCAAGGATAAAATCTTACTCAAACGGAAGTAATCGAATGCACCACCATAACTTTATATTTGTCAATGTGACTGGATGCGCCAAAATCCAATAGAAGAAACCCAAAAAATTTGCTGAATATCGTACAAGGGAACTCATTCAAATACGACTTGACAAGAAAAAACTTACGTAGTCCAAAATTTCCAGCTGTACCTCGGGAGGAAGTTCTAGGAAATCAAACGGATCACCACTTTTGTGTGGTAAAAGCTCTCGCAGAATATCATGCAAAGGAGGCCGATAAGCATCTATATCTGAAGAAAGTGTGTCCAAATCAATTCAAACGAGAGCCAAAAACCTGACCTTTGAGGTACATGAAAAATTCATTGCCTTCACCTTCTTTCAAGGCCCACTTCACTTTCTTCCTGCCATCAACCAATGAGAAATCAGCCAAAGACTGTAAAAAGTAGAACTGGCATTGCTGAACAATGTTATGTTGGAAGAATATTAGCGTCTGGAGATAACAACTGAAACCTCAGCTGTCTATGCTTGAGTTCTATCTGACAAAATGATAAAAATGCAAACAAGAATTGCAACAATGCGTACCTCAACTTCGTCGACAACTGGTTCTGCTCCTTCTGCTTGCACCGAAACTTTCGCAACTTTAGCTTCGCCCATGATCCATGGAACCAGCGGGATGATGAACGTATTCCAGACAACTTGCAAGCCTACCAGATTGTATGCATATATTCCAAGCACGTCTCATAAGGAAAAGATACTTGATAAAGCAACGTTTCCATGAAATGTATACTGCTTGTAGAGCATGGAACGCTGATTCCAAATCTGTTTTCTGTATGTGCAAAGCGCTTCTGAGAGGGGAGTTGTGGCAATTTTTGGAGTAAAAACAAGGATTTGGCCAGGGTAGCAAGGAGTTCTCTCCGACGTTTGAAAGAAGGTGGTTGGCATGATATTCATCTATTGCATGGCGCTTCCCGAGAGTAGTCAGGGCCCCATTGGAGCTCACAAATGACAGTTCTAAATAATTTTGCTGTAATAACCCGTTCAAACTTTTACCTCAAAAAATATCCACAACTCCCTTTCAGAAGGCCTTTGCGGATACCGAAAACACATTTGAGAACAGCGTTCCATGCTTTAAGAAGTAGTATTCATTCCATATGGAAATGCCACTTTGAACAAGTATCCTTGTAAGACCCAAAGAGGATATTTCGAGTGAATGGGAGAAATGCTGCAGCTGTTGCTAAATGATGATATATCATCATTTTTCGTTATAACGATGACGGTAACACATTGAGGTCGCCTAGCGAATTTTCACATAGCCTTCTACGGAGAACGACGTGATGTTCCCGTATAAGACTTCACATTAGAGTTCCAAGTGTTTGTGTCACAAAACAAAGAAAGCACGAGTTCGAAGCGACACAGACTCAAACTTGTAGTTTTCACAATGGTACATGATAGCTAAAAAGCGTGGGAGACGTTCCGACTATTGATGCGATAAGTAACAAACAGCCTCTTAATCTTCTCAAAATGAAAAAAAAATGTTTTGAAAGCAAAATCGAGAAAACAGAAAAGGTATGGCCGCCTTTTTGCTGATATTGTGTGTGAGTTCAGACAGTGTTTTATGTTACGACTGAATCACAAGACATCTACAGAGGACTTTGTACTTCTTGTTGTTCCGCAACCTCCGTGTGTGCATCCGAACTCGTACCTATAGTTACAAATGGCTGCGAAGAGCGCGCTCCATGACCCGGTGCATATTACGCTTCCGCACGGGACTCCTATCGATTGTGCGAGCATACCCCATAACTTTCCTCGCGATGTAAGCTACGCTCAAGGAAAATAACTCTTTCTTATAGTAGAATCATCAGAAAACAAGTGCATTTATTCTTCGCTTGATGAAAGCTTGTCTAGTCACATAATACCATCCACATCAATGATTCTTGAACCGATGACCACGAACTTAGCATGGAAAAAGGGTGATGGGTGCATAAGTGTAAGGCAGCCTTAACAATGTGTTGTGCTCCTAAGACAGCCATGAAGAAGTCAGCTGCACATTCAGCTCGCTAAAGGAGGAAGTTTAGCTTGTGACTGAGTATTGTAAGTTTGCTTTGAGTTCGACAGCTTTATGTTTATAGCAATAATCGCATCGTTTTGAACAAACTCCAACTTAGGAAGGCCGCTGTGAGTCAACCTGGTCTATCGGTCTGCATCAGAATAGCCTTCGTTCATTTATGATTGGTTGACAAGTCTTCAAAAGCATGGGTTTGATTTTGTCTATGAGAGGGATACGTGGTTGATGCTTTTTTGACCCTTTGTTTTTCAATCTGATAACCACAATGTTTTACGTGACATATCAAGAAGACTGCCTCCTTTGATGGCACATTCAGGAAAACTACTTCTTCGGTACGATAATCCAAAAGTTTTCATGAGCGGCATTTGGTAGTGCAAGGCTCCTGGTTTCTATGACCTGCAATTATGTGAAAGAGGCAGTTAGAGCTTTAGTTCGTGAACATGGAGTCAATCTCTTGTGTGGTAGTTTGAAATCAACTAAACACGCCGCATGCAGATATCCTTCAAATCTATTATGAAACGAAGCACAAGCGCTAAACTTATCCATTCACTGTAAGCATGATTCAGAAGAGAGGTTGCAGTGGTTTTACAGCAAAAGTGAACAGATCACCTTTTGCAACTTTTCAAGCGTCCAGCATCAAGAATCGGAAATATGCTCGAAAGGCTTGCTAGTAAAAAAGGCTGTACGAAAAAGCCCATGTATACCAAAAGCGGACGATTTGTTGTCGACGTGCTTACCACTACCATAAATGAACCTGCTGCCTCATCAATGACATGCTCAGCATCAGTTCAGTTTATCAAGAAGATGAACCTACTATCGTTCGACAAACATCGGATGGTGGCATATTCAGCTCAAACATCAGATATCGTACTGTAACTGTACTTTCACCTGAGCTTCTACTAACTTGTGGTGTACTTGTATTCTCATGATTCTCCCAGATAAGGGTTTTCCCTTCAGTGTCGCATTGAAAATTATAGGGTGTGAGCGTTGTATCGACAAGAGTCCCGCGCGGAAGCGCAATTTGTACTGGGTCATGGGGCGCACCCTTCGCAGCCATTTGTAACTATAGGTACGAGTTGCATCCGATTGTCGTATCCTCCAGGTATATTTTTGAGCACCTGAGCAGGAGCTAGAGTGATATATATTGCAAGAACTGTGTTCTTGTGGGAACAAATTCGAAATGAAGCCCTTTGATTTGAGATTTATAGTGTTGCTTTAGCACTGCATACATGCTTGAAACGAGAGCCTACCAGTCCTCCGGACGTACGACACTAGTTATGATTGTTCGTGCCTGGTAGAGGCTTTGAAAATTTGTTACAACAAATTTTTGCCCTCGAGCTGCGGGAGAGGGTGTTTTCAGTAGATCATTTTTGATCTTCTTCCAGCGCCGATCAGTTTCTTTCTGTGGTTTGTGAATCATCTTTCAGGTTACTTATCATCAGCATGGTTGCCTTTGTGAGAGGAGCCCGCTCATCTCGAAATTTTCGGGATCTGTTCATGCTCACGAATATAAGATTACAGTCACAAAATGCATCTAAGGTATTATTTCTTTGATATCCCAAGTGTCATAATCTTTTCTGATTGTGGTGGTTTTAGACGACTAGTTCAGCTAAGCCCAATGATGATCTTCTTCGACAGCAGCGAGTACAGTACAGTACTAGTGCAGGCGAAATCATAGATGTAGAGGCCGTTTTCCAAGTAAGATGCACAGCTCAGAATTTTCTACATTTGTCGGTTTTGATGTAAGTGGGTTCATTATGAGCCCAACCGACTTCCCCTCATTTTACACCTTCCTCACTTCGATTACTTTTTTCATTTACATTCATTTTTTAGGATACTTTACCCTCAGGTTCTTCTCTAGGCACTGTAGTGGCTATACATGGAGCACCAGGATCTCACAAAGATTTCAAATATGTGACTCCATTACTGCAAAAGAAAGGAATTCGTTTTATAGGCGTCAACATGCCAGGCTTTGGTTTTACTCCGGGTATGCAAATTTATCCGTGCAAAGGTTAATCGTCATCATACTGTTGGTAATAGCTCGTCGGTAGTGCCTCCGTGCAATGTTAAGTAGAACTTGTTTTGGGAGATTCGCAGATAACATCGGCGTATATGCCTTAGTCAGAGCTAAGAGTTCTGTCAAACTTTGTTGTTATCAATTATATTTATTTGAGTAATTATTTGTATTTATTATTGTCTTTATTATTATTATAATTATTTGAGTTTTCAGTCTGATAACTCGGTCTTTCGTCACTCTTTACTGTCTATAGGACTTTCCACGTTGTTTCAGGTGACTCACGCCTCAAATGCGACAACATGGAGAGAAATAACTTTGTGCATGGGCTGCTCTCCAAAATAGCAGTCACCGAGAAGGTCGTGATAATGGGACATAGTAGAGGGACGGAAAACGCAGCAAATGTAGCAGCTTGGAATACGGTAGGTACGACGTGCCTGCTAATCTTTTCTATTTCGTTGACTTAGGCTTTTTATGATTTTAGGAAAAACTTTCTGGTCTAGTACTATTAAATCCTACTGGTCTCCAGTTTCACAGAGGGATGCGCCCTTTTTGGGCAATCAAATCGGTTCTGACATTATATTCATTGGGATCGATCGTGCAGAGAATGATAAACCCTATCATGAAGTACAGTGAGGAGTTTTGTCTTCTAGTATTGTTTTATGCAACATTAGAATTTTTCACCAGTATCTGCCAAACAAGAGAATACACATAATATACACTTTCTAGTATACAACAATGTTCTCGGACTACGGCTAGATAGTGGTGAGAGAGCGATGATGTGTTTGCGCACTATGTACAATCTTGAATATGAAAAAGCTATGAGGCCAAGCATAGATGCCATCAATAGGGCTAAAAATGTGAGCCCCTGTTTGTTTGATATAGCAGTCTGTGATCACAAAATGGAATGGAGGTTCACCTTTCAGGTCCGCGTGCTTATTCTTTATTCTGGAAAGGACCCACTCATCGAGGAAACGATTCCTCAAGAGTTGGCGAGCTCATTTCTTGACCACAAAGAATTGGTGAGGCTTTAGGTTCTGTTGTTGTTCTTTTTCTGTTACCCCATAAGTGGAGAAGTCTCGAAAATTGCTGATAAACTGTATACTGCTTACACTGTGATAAAATTAGGTAGGAAATACGTCCTTGCGTTTCTCTCCGTTGATCCTTTTGAAAGTGCGGTAGTGTTCACTTAAGGGCGGACATTTTGCATTTGATCGAGATTTGCAGTTGCTGCACAACATCAATCATTGCAAATTTTATCCAGTTCAATCCTCCGTTAGCTCCGAACTCAGGCTTTGTATCATATCCATGCTTTATTAGTTCATGGTCTCATTTTAGGTTTACGAGGAGAAATCCGATGCTGGAGAGCAGTATGTGACGGAACGAATAAAAGATTTCTATGCTGGTGGAGCCAGGACAGTGAGTTTGGTCCCAAATATTAACTTTACCGCTTTTTAGTTCATACTTGTAGCGAAAGTTTTGGATAAAATCTGCTGCATTTCTTACCAAAATTCTACATTTCTAATTCAGATATCAGTCAACTTCAAAAAGGATGGCCACTTTCTACAGCGAGACCGTGCGCATATCATTGCAGATGGTGTAGAAGCAATGCTCAGAAGTTGACATCAGATTACGTTGTCTCAGACTTTGTAACTCCTCTAGCGCTGCTTCTTCCCAATTCAGTTTTCTGTTCCATATGTTGAGCTCTATTTGGGTGAGCAGCTAATAGCCATGCCTTTTTGATTTTTTTATCAGGTTCTTCTTTTTGATGTCCACTTTGCTCATTCGACAGCGGGTTACCTATGTACTTCCATGCATCGATTTTAATTAGGTAGGCTCAAATTCGTAATCTTCACTGCTTCAGGTGTACTTCGCAAAAATTCCTCTCATATTCAGATTTATTTCATACCTTTTCAAATCTATGTTAGCTGCGAAACTTTGAATCATAGACGGTTTCTCCTCGACGTCTCCATAGTTGCCGCCAAAGTGAATATACCTCCTTGCATATGTCTCATGTACAAATTGCTAGTAATCGAATAAGGTATGGATATGAATGAACTCTGAGAAATGGGTACATTTCATCGAGAAGAAAAAGTAAGGGGGACAAATGAGAATCATCTATCTTTCCGCGAAAAGACTGGAACGTTCTATCCTGTCATAGTTCGCGATACCAAATTATAATTAGTGCCATCACTATGTTGACCCAGGAGATTCGGACTTTCTAGAACCTAATTTGAGGAGGCTGATTCCGAAATTACCGTACTCATACGCCAAGGGACCAATTTACTGCATTATGTCGCATGTGTGAAGAAATTTTTGCAAATCCATGTAATTTCATATTTGTTCTTGCTCTACATCATCATATCAGACCTAGATTCGCCAAGTATCTTCTCTTGCACTTTTGGCTATAAAGGTTAGTCAGCATATACCATCTAAGCATTTGAACCGCCAGATACTCCAGCTAGCGAAATTTCACTCAACAGTGCGTGAATGCTATCACTCTCAACCAGTAAAAGATTCCCTGAACAATAAGTGCAAAAAACTGTTTTTTTTTTCGTTTTTATAAGATACCTAGCTGACCATGGTGTATGGTTAGTTAGATAGATGGGGAATGGGAGATAGGTAAGGTCAGGAAATTATCTTCTTGTCTGCAATAAATGGAGAAAGCTCCGCGGCTTTACAGAATGTAGAAACAGGATCAAAAATGAAAACGAACAACATATAGACTCAATGAAAATGTAGGTTATATTAAAGAAAGTAGTGTGAGATTTTCAACGAAGGAATCTGATTCAGAGTGTGCGATTATTTTGACATGACAGCGGTCAGAATCATAAGGAGTATTTGCTAATCCTTGTTTCATTTTATGTGCTGCGTAGACCCGCTCGGCAATTTTTTACGGGTGACAGCGCTCACAGAGCGAGAATGTCGATCGCATATTTCATCGATTCTCAGCGGCTGCGAGGCTCATGGCGCAGAAAGTGAGTTTTTTTGTTTGACTATCACGCCCCCTACATTTTTACTTTACATTTTAGAATGGCTTGAATTCTCATACGAAAACCGGTCCTTTGATTGATGATCCCCTTCTTCGTTCTCAACGAGTGCAGTTCACTACTAGTAGTGATGAAAAAATTGATTTAGAAGCTGTTTTTCAGGTGAGCTTATGAGGCGTTAGTATAACTTGAGAATGTGCTATTTCACACATATTGCATAAATAGCAAACATCAATTTTACTGCTAGAGGGTGGCTTGGTTTACTCTATATGTCTTCTTAAAAATATGAAAAAATCATTTTAACTGTTGCAAAGACTCTTCAATTCCTTACATATTTTTTGCTACTTATAAGAAAGGTTTTGTTTCTGTCCATACCAGAGATTCTATAGGACACAAAAACGACAAAACCCGAAACCATAACTATTCGCAGATACATCCCCTCAGCACAAATAACTCACGGTCAGTATAAGAAAATATAAGTCGTTAAACTACAGTTAAACGCAAGATCTAGTTTTGTTGAGGTTTTTAGCAATTTTTGCTATCAGTATACGAAAAATACGAGTTGAATGTTTTTGTCTACCAACTAGTGTGTCTCTAAACTATGTCAGTATGTTTTTGGCCTAAGACGTACCCTGAAATAAATTAGTTTTCTATTCCTGATTGTCAATGCATCAAACGAACTCGTTAAAACTTGAAAAAATCTACGATTTTTTCATTTGCAAGACGGAAAACCTATTGGATACGCATCGTTTAGTCCTTCATCACTATTTTTCCATTTCGCTTAAATTTTGTCAAGCTTCTGAATGTCTAGCTTCAATATGACATGACTAATTGACAACGGTTCTGACTACTTCTTGTGCTTTCTCGTGATCCCTGGTCCGCCAACAACGTTCGTTAGACTTTGTAATAGTTTCCTCGGTGCTCTAAAAATTCTGTACTCCTAGGACATTTTCATAAGCCACAAAAGGACTCAAAGCTGACAAGGGAATGGTCAGAAGTCGAAGTGGCCAGTCCATACAAGCTGCATACCATTAGATGCAGCATAAAACGCTGACTCTAAATCTGTCTTCTTTATCTGCAGAGCGCTTTTGTGAACGAAATTATAGGCCGTTGAATACAATTATTTTGCTAAGAAATTGTGCGTGTAAAGTGCAAACTTGGCCGTACAAAGCCATTCTCAACTCAATGTTGGACCAAAACATGCAACTAGGTCATCACTTCATATGACCCGTACCTAGAAGTGGGCTGAAAGAGCAATAATGTGCCTAATTTCGCAATTTTTGTATACAGTTTTTTCGCAGTAAGGCTGCTCATAACTTTGCCTACAAAGGCGCTCTGCAGATATGAAAGACAGAATTGAATTCAGCATTTTATGCTGCATCGAATGGTATGCAGCTTGCACGGATTGGCCACTTCGACTTCTGACCATTCCCTTGTGAGCTGGAATTCTATCAAAGTTCCCAGATTTTTTTTTGAATTTTCTTCTCTGTGATCGGAGAAGCGCTTCTTCTCCCTACCGAGAACAGGTCTCAAAATTTTCAAAAAGTCAACTACATGACTACTTAAATTGTGCAAGAGTACTCGTTTTGATTTGTAAATAATCAAAGTAAGACTTAGTAAACAAGGGGGCGTCTTTTCTTGAAGCGTCATGCTAATGCGGTGGAAGTTTCTGTGTAATTTCACAATGACAAAGGATCGTTTTTTTTTCGGTTTCCGTAAATCTAACTGTAAGTACATTACCGCAAAGAATTCTAAGTAGCGGATGTATAGAGCAAAATCTCTAAAGATAAGAAAAAAAATTTATCCTCCCTCTCATAACTCGCCATAATTTTTCGAAAGTATTTTATCGTAAGTACAGAAATTCAGTATTCCTACCTCAGTCACAGAAGCGTCAAATACCCATAAGTGTTTGATAGTGTTTGATGTTTGATAATCTTGAAAGTGGATCAAGGTTCAACACTAGTTTTACAAAGAAAAAGAGCGTTAACGAACTCGAATTATCAAATCTCGAACAAAACAGTCTATCGCGCGTTTGAAAACATGAATTATGTTTATGTTACCCTGAAGACTTTATCAGTCAGAAACAGAACCCACCTGTTAGAAAGAGGAGAGATTGCTGCATCAAATGACACCTAGTTGCTTGGTGGTTGATGTTCTTCGAGGTGAAATGACCAAGTATGTGTTTGATAGTTCTAGAAATAATTTTGGAAATCTTGAAAAGCAAGCCTTTGAAGGGGAGGAAATCGCTTTGTATACAGTGCGGTTGCTCTTTACTTGGACTTCCGGGAATCAGTACATAAATTTAGATAATAGCCAAACATGACCACCGACTATGGGTCGTAATATTTTGAATTTTCTGAGGAAATCGTTGGTTGTACTGCATTGTAAATATAATCAATTGAAAGAGCGCGAATGATTTTGCAACTTTTATGAATCGTTTCGTGAAATGTGGAAGTTGTAAATAAGCGGAATTACTTTTGGAACAACCTAATATCTGCATCAGCATTGACCAAAACATTCTTATATCGATTCTAACCTCTGGTAACTGTTTCTTTGATTTTATGCCATTTTTGAGTTCACGCAAACCGATTGAGATGAATGAAGAGAGGATTTTTTGGATGATGATCAGGTCATTGAAGGTGTATAAGTTACTGACAATGAGTCACTTTTCGTAATCGTTTTCGTAAAATGAAGGACATTTAGGCAAGACACTATTGAGCGAATGTGATGTTTCTTTTCAAATATGCAGAAGATTAATTACCAACATGACTCTGATATTTTGAGTATAAAACGCAGGCGAATAACACTATCTGTCATGTTTCGGGACAAAAGTGGGGTGTACACGAGCTGACGAGAGAGAGGAGGCGGAATTGCAAAAAAATCGCTTATACTAGGTCGGTCCGAAAGTTCGTGCCTTTTTTCAGACCCATGCTCAAAGCACTTGAAATGAGGATAGACAAAAGCTATAAGCACTATCCGATGCAGAATTTCTTCCTCTTTTTAACAGTTATGTTTGTTCAGATTCCATTGATGTCTGCTCAATAATCAGCAGGGATCTTCTACCCATGTTTTTTACCCATCTTGAGTTTGGCTATTCTTTGAAATTTCCAGTTTCAACTCTTGGACTAACTTTGATAAGTTGAATAGAACAAACAAAATGCAATACAGTGAACTATTTGGCTTCATCAACTTTCAGTACTTTTCAGATTTCTCAAAATAATTTTCCCAAAAACCCTTATTTTTGCGAAGTCGTGAAATACACCATCGCTTCAAACATTGACAAATTTTTCGGAATTTGAGGCTTCCAAAGATAGCTTATCGCTTAACACTAATTTTAAGCAACTAAGCAACTAAGCGCATAGCGGTTCAAAATATCGGATTTCGAATTTTCTGGGTACAGCTTGGGACGAGCCTGGAAACTAGAATTACAGTGATTTTGTCCTCATATACTATACAAATCAGGAAGAAAAGAAGTTTATCAAAAAGAGGAGGAAAAGCTGCATCCGATGACACCCTGGTTGCTCGTCGTTTATTGTTTTGTGAGAAGTGGAGAGGAGCCAGCCAGAGGTGCCAAAAAAATGTATTGTGTTGCATTTTGTTTAGACTATTCAATTGTTATCAAAGCTAGTCCAAAAGTTGAAGATGAAAATTTTAAAAAGTAGCCAAACTCAAGATGGGTGAAAATCATGGGTCTTTGCCGATTATTGAGCGGACATCAAGGGAACTGAACAAGACTATAACCATTAGGAAGAGGAAGAAATTCTGCATTGGATAGTTCTTACAGCTTTTGTTTATCTTTATTCTAAGTGGTTTGAGCATGGGTCTGAAAAACGGTACGAACTTTCGGACTGAACTAATATATTCGTATAATGAATACTGAATATGTTGCTCGGAAATAACATATGAACTTTCATATTTATTGCTCCCGAGAAAAATAATATATCGAAATGTTCAAAAAGCATTATAAATTCTCATCTAAAAACTTTTGGAACTATGTAAGGACGAAGTTAGACAGCGATCCTACATCAACAACTGACCAGTCAGATTTTAGGATACTCTTCCATCAGGATCTCAACTAGGTACAGTGATAGGGATTCATGGTGCTCCTGGCTCTCACAAAGACTTCAAGTATGTCATGCCGTTCGTGCGAGAGAAAGGCATTCGATTCATCGCCGTCAATATGCCAGGCTTTGGATTGACTCCTGGTCAGCTTTCCTACTACCTCCTTGTTTTTTTTTCTGTTCATTTTGCAAGGCGTGCCCCTAGAAAAACAATAGGGGATTTCCTGGTTGTATAACTAACAATAAGCATAGATAGTTAAGTGCTTTGTGACCATTGCCATTTTAAGGGCCGGGCATACTTCAAGCGATTTCAATCGCGACGCGATTTGGCAATATTTCAGGCGTCCATAACTCATTGTAAACACATTTCAAATTTACAGAAGATAGGGCATTTCATCAGTTCACGTAAGTTATACACACTATGCATGTGCAGTTTGCTAATGTTGGATCCGAAGACTTCTGGCGAATTGCCAAATCGCGTCGCGACTGAAATCGCGTGAAGTATGCCCGGCCCTTTATGCTGAAATAGAACGCATCCTAAGCTTTTGCTTGCAGTTAGTGATAGGAAACTTGAAATATTTGGACCAAAGGGTGCCTTTGGAGAGTTTTTCTCTCGAAAATAATCCGCTTCTGGCCAACTTCTCTGCTACTTGATGCTATTGATTAAATAAAGTTGGATAAAATAACGTTGAATAAACAACTCAACGATGCAGATTTCGGAAAAAAGGAAGCGGTAAAAGCACAAAGATGCTCTTCAAGAATATCGAAACTTAACGCTTTTCTGACATTCAGTGACTATAAAACGTTTATCATACCAATATTATTTATTTACATATCTTCTTATTTCAAGATGACCCTCGTTTGAAATACGACAACGTTGAAAGGGATGACTTCGTCCATCAACTGCTAGCTACGCTTGGAATCTCTAGTCGAGTGGTCATGATGGGACATAGCAGAGGCTCAGAAAATGCTATAAAAGTCGCTGCTAGGAATACGGTGAGCGCATTTTTCGGTATAGCCAGTGACCTGATTAGGAAGGCTTTAACTTCATCAGATCGATCACTTTTTGGAAAATTTTTAATGGTTTCTTACGGGTTGTTTCGTAAATGGACTCATAACTACACATTTTCCAATTTAGAAGGAGTAAATCTTAAATTAATACCTTTCTATCTAACAACTGAAACGAGCTTCAAATTTTTTCAATGAAATTCAAACACCTTCTAACTTTTCAAGGATTTCTATCATTTAAGGACTCATAGTAAGCTTTTGCGCACTATCCTCTTATTTCGTCCATTTCTATTTTTTACATGCTACCGTGAATACTGTATTTGATGTTCAGGATAAAGTGTGTGGATTAGTTTTACTGAATCCAACCGGACTACGGCCTCACAAGGGAATCAGACCACTCTGGGTGATAAAACTTTTCATGTGGTTTTACTCCCTTGGTCCAATCGCGGAAATGATCCTTAATCCTGTTGTGAAATTTTGTGAGTCACTACGATTTTCTTCTTCAAGATCCATCATAAATAAGAAAATTTCAGTGACCAATAATGTGTTTGGCTATCGGATAGACACTGGAAGGAGAGCAGCGATGTGCACACAAACCGTGTGCAATCTAGAATTTGCCAGTTTATTACCAAGTATCAATACTATTAATGAGGCAAAGAATGTGAGTAATAGATTTTTTCAAACCACATTTGAAACGATATGTATGCAGGTTCGGGTGCTTGTCGCTTACTCTGGGAAAGATAAACTCATAGAGACAGGCGTATCGCAGGAATTAGCAAACTCCTTTCACGATCGCAAAGAGCTGGTGAGGAGTTTTTGCCATTTATAATTTGTCATCTATCGTACAGAAAACACCTTGCTATCAGCAAAAGCGATTTCATATTGCATAATCACTATTCATTCCTGTGGTTTAAATTAACGTACTGCGTTTTAAGAGGCTACCCAAGTTTTTTTTAGACCTGCAAAGATAGAACTAATGAAGCCGAAAAGGAATCAATCAAACGATTAAGAAACCTGTTTTCTATAGGAACAAAAGCAGTACGTTTTTGTTTTCTTTTTGGCACCACCTTCTAACACACTCATTTGCAGGTATCTATAAACTTTGAAGAAGATGGTCACTTCCTTCAGCGGGATCGTGCTTCCTTCATTGCAGAAAGCATAGAAGCACTGTTACAGACGTGATTGCATTCAAAGCTTTATTCGCTAATATTTCCTTTACAATCTGTACTGTTGTTTCATGGAAAAATATTATTTTGAATGTTGGGTTTTCATAATCTTTAGAGTCGTCTATCTACAAGTAAATTGTCGGTTGTCAATGGCCGTCGTAAAAGTGCTCCATATGGACCTAGCATAAAATCAAATCTACTTCAAACCAATCCTTTCCTATTTGTTAACCGACTCTGTGGACAATTTGAGTTACTGCGGGTCCCCGGGCCCGCTTCCGATAGGTACCTCCGCGACGTGCCCACGGCGCATGTCATCAGTGCGCTTTTCGTTCTAGCCTCTAATGGATTTTTATGCTTTTCTCTCTTTGCTCTGTTCTGTAATTTCTCTATGTTAGGTAAATGATCCACGAAATCTGCCGGTGATCATACAACCATTAACGGTCTTGAGAGCTTTTGTTTCGAGAAGCTCTCGTTTTTTTTCCTTGGCAGTGAAGATTCAGTATATTTTAGGGAACTCTTCTCCAAAGGTTTTTGTCGCAGAATAAGCGTGTCTATCCAATTGGTTTGGTTTTGTATAGACCTTTTAGCTTTTTTCAATGCGCCTTGGGCTTCTGCTTGTACTCCTGTTAGAATTTTTGTTAGAACCTGTTAAACATTTAGAGACATGTCAATTTTTTTGACACGTGACAGGAGTTTGGCTCTCCATCCTATGAGGTTTTCCACCAAATTTGGTACAAGCAAAGAAGCAATATCTTTTTTTTGAAAAAAATGGGTCCGGATAACAGAAAAAACTCTTTATTCTTACTCGCCAAGATTCTTCCTACGCCTCGCCAGTGCTGTGTTCGGTGAATCCATGGGCTTATGTCTTAAAAGCACCGTCCATCTAGATACTCTCGACATCCTTGCTTATTTGGTTTCAGGGTCTTCTCGTGTCCCTGATTCCGAATAGCAGGCGTGGGCGGGCATTACTAGAGGGGGCGGTGTCGCCTAGAGGTCCTCGAAATTTGCTCGGACGTAACGACCAAATGTGCTCTATAGAAGCGAAGACGAGTAGTTTCACACTCCAGTAACATTCTTGTGTTAGGGCTGGTTCCACTCACAAAGAAATAGAATAAATGGAGGAAAAAGGAGGACGTTGTAGCAGAGCACACAACAATTAAAAAGGTCGAGAATTCGCGGCAGATATTGATATGAACCACTCACACAATTCACAGAAAATCCCGGGGATACGTTAATTTGCCAAATTTCGCGGGAATTCGAGCTACAACGAGGTAATGCAAAACGAGAAAATGGAGAGTTTCCGAGTAGAGTCGGGAGTAACGCAAAGGGGAACTTTCCGTAATATCCTTAGATCGCCAAGATAAAAAGCTTCCGTGAATTGGAAGAGGTGCTTCTCCAGAGCTGACAGGAATATAAAGCACTGCCTGCCGATCTGCGCGAGGCTACGTTATCGAGTCTCTGACAAGAAAGGAATTTGCAATAGCATTGACAATCTTCTAGAGCCTCTGTTTTAACGTCCTGAATCGTGTTACTTCATTGTATTCTACCGTACCTTTCCGCATTCCCATTTTTTTCTACACCGGTTTCGAAAGCGATTTCGATCGATAATATAAGAGCCATGTAGAAGATCATTGTGATGGGATCCAAATACCGCAGAGATGAATGGCACTGGAGATAAACGTGCGCAAAGAGAGGATATCATGATGCTATTCAGCTCCAATTTGGATTTTCACTCTTATCTTACGTCTTTTCTTGCAGACTAGTAAATCTTTCTTGTTTTCTTCTTCTCCTAAGCAAGTAGGTCAAAGGGGACTTCGTAAAACTTCCGAAAGTCAGGGGAGACTTCGTTTTCAGAAACCCTAAAACCGACTCGTGCCGGGCCCTAATTTTCGCGCCAAATTTGCCCTCCAGAGATATGATAGGAACACCAATACCGCCGGTAGTTGTGATGTAGTGGCTAACGCGTTAGCCTCACAAGCTGATGCAGGTGTAGGTTCAGATTCTTTTGTATCATTCAATTTTACATTGCCTCAATTAAGCTTCTTTTTGAGAGTTAGATTTCCTCGAGGTAAATGCGTGTTGTTACTCTTTGAAAATTTGACGAGGAGTCACTTTTATACGAGTATCTCCTATATTTAATTTATACTAGGATGTGCCTATAAAAAATGAAAACGATCGGAAGATGAATGAATGTTAACATGTTACCATGTTGGTGTTCCTATCGTATGTGCCTCGCGCGGCCAAATTTGGCGCGACAATCCTTCATAACTTCTTTCAGAGAAACGTTCAGCAGAAACAGAAACCAGATTCGGAATCAGCGTTGGAAGACGAGTGTATTGGTATACATTTCATCTCAAAAGGCCAAGGACACTAAGTATCGTTCCCTTGTTAGAAAGGTTATTATATCATTTGCTCGATTAATAGCAAATTCCTCAGCGAGTTTTTGAAATGCTCTTTGAGGTGGGACCCTGTTCTCTTAGCTCCACATAAAACCTTGTCTGGCAGGGCGAACACGATGGGAGAATGAATGCCAGTGAAAACGCGTATGCAACGGAAATGTGCATTTCATAAGAATGCTATACAATGCCATTACCGCATCATCTTGTATCCCATTGTTAACAAGCTCACATTGTGGGAAGGTGCTATCAAAGTATCCTCAATGAATCCTTTTGTCCTAACGTTAGTTGATAGCGTGAGCTTCTAAACCAACAATGAAACCTGTACCACATTATTTTTTATCAGCTTCACAAAGGTTAGCTCCTTTTGCATCTCATTATGGCACTCTATCGAAATCTTCAAAAACAATACTCCTTCTTCATTGCCCTCACGAAGTACTATGCTATTGTTGTCACCATTGCAATAAACAGCGTTAATATTTGATTGTTCTGGTGTAGTCTTAGTACAGCTCCCGGCTGTTGTTTTGAGCATCTCATATTTCGTCCTGCAGGAGCTTTCCAATCACAGGTATGGTTCATCCTTAAAATCGTGACGACGAGTTGACTGCGGTCTTTGCGCACACAGAAGCCTAAAACATCCATTCAAACAGGCATCAACTTAACATTCAGCACAGTGACTTCCATTGTCTAAGTACTATCATATCTAAACAGGGAAGGTATATGACTCCCAGTGGGGTTTCTCTATGAGACGTATATCACTCGAAAGGTTTTTGAGCGCTGTTTTCATAACAACTTTCTATATCTGCTTATCGGTTTACTGAACAAAGTTAAAGGCACTTTTCCGCGTCCAACTTGCATGGTAGAATACTTTGTAAATGACCTAAATTCGTAGTAAATGCGAATTTGGTCCAAAGTTACATGCCCAAATGTCTGAGATATATTTACTGTGCATAGAAAAATTGAAGACATTAGTTTTAGAGCTACTCTGCCGCCTTAGTCCTGCAATGAGCAACCAAAATCAGTGTGATGCCAAAATGCCAGAACTTTGTTCATTAAACCGATAAGCAGATATGGAAGGTTGTTCTGAGTTCAGCGCCCAAAGACCTTTCGACTGATATACACCTCGTAGGGAAACTCCACTGCGAGTCATATACCTTCCCTTGTAAGCAGAAAAACCACCCGAGTAGAGATAGAAACCGAGGAATGGAAGTGGTGAGTGTCGCGCGCCGTCGCGCCATCGTCACGTTTTTCGAACCCTTATATCTGTGGATTTGATATAACCTGAATCTGTTGTACACTAGTGATAAATATCAAGATTTATATACACGTGACCGTGTGAAATGTTTACAGAGTAGAAAAAGTTGACCTACTGCGGTGCCGTATGATAGTGAACCCGTGAAAAGCCCGCAGAACAAAGGAAGGTGATAAAATGGTCATAGTGATAACCAGAACCAAAGAAAATGACAAAGCAAGAAGGAAAGAAGATTCTACTATAACGCTTGTTGCGGTGCGATAAATAGCCAATCACACATTTAGAAAAGACTTAGGAAATGATTGTTAGTGAATAGAAAAATCAATTTGTGGATACGAATCAAAGTGTACCAGTATAACAAAATTCAATACTTCAAACATTTTGACGATAACCAAACAGAAGAAAGCTAGTTCCGAATGGTGCCGTCAGAGGGGGAAACAACACAATGCTTGATAATGTATGCGCTGAGATCGCAAAAATAATATGGGGAGGGATGGGGGGTCAATGCGAATGTACAGTACCAGCATTTGTGACCAAAGTTTAGGGAATGTGATCCTCTCGAATCAGATGTTCATGGCTTTGTAATTTACCAGCAGCATAAGCTTTGAGCTGGAGAAATAGACAATTGTGGAACCCGTCAAACGGGGTAGGACTCCAAGATCATGAAATTTTGAAATTATTCCAGCATGCTACAGGTCTGCGAGAAAGCCACTCACATCGGAAAAGGAAAACCGCATTTCTGGAATTGAACAAAAAGTTAAATTCGCTCAGCAATGTAGCTGACCTAGATTGTTCTTGCGCAGCATCATGCATAGATGAGTTGAGCACAATGTGGAGATCTCAACGCGAAAAAAATAACAACAGAGCGGATAAATGGCGGAGAACAGCTGTTTTACAATAATACAGCTCCACAAGGAACAAACATATGAAATTTAGACCGGAAGGATCTGTGCACTGTTGAGGTCGCTGACCATTCCAGAATCATTCTGGTCCATTTCGGGCCGTTTTTTCACCAACGGCAACTCGATGATGGCATCGTGACCATCGAGGTGAAGCGAATCATCATGTCGTGACGATAACCGAGGCTTGTCGCGAACCTGGAAAATAAGGTCGCTAGGTCAAAATTTGTATCGCATCAATAATAAGTTTGGTTTACAAAAAAAGTTGAAACAAAACAGTACCTCGCGCTGCGGTGGGATTTCCTCCACCACCACCGCGCTGTGGAATGCAGAATCGTCGGAAATGTCATCGTGCCCTTGTTTTTCTTCCATGGGCTCAACCTGAAATACCTAACTTTTTTCCATAGTTCTACCTTTGAAGGCATCTTCCACTCAGATCTGAGCTGATGAGATTTTGATGCAGTATACAGTAGCTAGAGCCCTAACTGACTTATTGTCCCAAGTCCCGCTGCAAAAGGCTTGGTATGGACTGAGAAAATTGCCTCAGTACTAGGATGCTGCTTGGCTTACACACCCACCAGTGTTGGTTCTAAAAGTAATGAGCTCAAAATTTTTGAAAGCCTTTTTCACAGCGAAGGTGGTAATCCGACATTTCCAATTACCAAAGAGTACAGTTTTGGACATACTACCTTAGACCGCTCATGATGATGGGCGTGACGACCCCACAAGTATCCATCTTTTAAAGCAATTTTCTCGCTTCGGGATGCACCTTTTGCAGTGGAATTTGGGCAGTAAATTAGCTAGGAACCTTGCTATCGTACAGCATCAACGTCTTACCCAACACAAATTTGAATGGATGGTGATTGCAATGCAGATTGCAGTGATTGCAATGCAAAGCATGGGCCGCGTGCATACAACGAGGGTGTAACACCTCCTACCTCATCATTGTCTTCCTCGAGTAATGGACGAGCATCCTCTTCCAAGGGAGACGTAGCGACCACCACGACACCCGTCGGTGACGAGGGCGGCATAGCCCTCTCCGGTTGACTGCAGTGGACTGCCAACGGCTCGGTGATCGGCACATCGGCAGACGATCGCGTAGTGATGGACCTGCCAATGCCACTGTCAAGAGTTCGAGGCGAGACGGACTTGACGGTTGTCGGCGACTTTTTCACGCGACAGTGCGAGTTTTCGAACCACTTCGGCTCCTCCTCCATCATCTGCTTCATGGCAGCGATGGCTGCTTGCAGCCGCGCCTGCTGCGGATTGAAACCCGCCAAGCGAGGATCGTTGCGCAGCTGCGAATCGCTCAGCGATGCAACAAAAAGCCCGAGATTCTCGGGAATGGTATACTGTAGCAAAGGGCTAAGGGCAAAGAGTGTGAAGCTGGACGGAGTGTAGTTGAAATGTGCAGAGACCACTCGAGCGTGCCTAAAAAAGATGATTCAGGTTTTTAGATTGTCAGAGAGAAGACACACTTACTGCAACACTAAATCAAGCTGACTGAGGAAAAGCCCATCAAGAGGTGTTTTGTTTACGCGTTCTATGGCATCAGTTCCAAGATAGCGGGCCCGAACGCGATAATATGCGCCTACCGAATTGATGACGACGATCTGGAACAATAAAAGATTTCAAGATAAGGATAAACATATATACTGTAACAGTTAAAATATACTATATGAAAATCAGTGGAGACCCATTAAAATAATTTGCTTCAAAAACGTTGGCTATTAATAAGATCACTAAGTGTTGATCAATATCTTGAATATTCATATAATCCCCACGCTCTTAATAGCTTGCACCTTGTTCCGATGTTTTAGAAAATTATCTGATACTTTAGAATTGATACTGTCTTCAGAATGGAACTGGCAGATTTGTCTGAACGCCACTAGCTAAACACTTTTGGGATGTTTGCGTTACGAGATTCGCAGACCAAAACTAATGTGGTACAGAATGAGCTGAATCAGGGCCATGCTAACATACAAGAACGGGAGGGAGGCTAAACTGACTCCAAAATGTCACTTTTATTTTGGACAAACAGTCAGGTAGCGATACTTACCTTGTCCGCCTTCACTATGCTTGCATTGATATATTCGTAAAGATTCTTTTCTATTTCATTCTCGTCCCAAACGTCCAACTAAAAAATATTTCTTTTTCTTCCAAAATCTTGCAGGTTGCGTAATACGCTTGACTTACATGTACGTCCATTTTGAATGTGTCACGAAGCAGTTCAGCAAGAGCTATGACAGCAGCCTCATGCTGCGGGCAATCATGTGTGTAGACAATAAGCACAGACGTTGGAGCTGAAAAAAAAGGTTCAAAGTAACAATGGGTGACAAGCAGAAAATTTTCTCGTGTGCTGGCTCAGATTAGCGTTTTGGAGAAAAACATCGAGTTAATTCAACAAGTATGGGCCATATTTGAAAAAGACGAGAAAGAAATTCTGAATACCCCACTTACAAACACTTTTGTACACACATACTAAAATCTCCGAATTATGAGAGCTAGCGATTCTGCTCGGTGTTTATGCTTTTTTGGTGGAAAAGCACAGATATCACTTTGTGAGAATATCCAAAAATAGAATGCAGTAAAAGCTTCGCTCTTAGAATCTTGCAGTACTTTCCCAATTTACTATCTTTTTGGACGAATTTTGGGAAAGCTTGACTTCGGTCTTCAAATAAAGCAGTGAAAATGGAGGTCTGCCCACAAGCTACCCAACGCCTAATCCCAAGGTTTGCTTGTTAATTCAGGACATTATGACAGAAGAAAACTCGCACTCCTGCGCCACATATGTGAAAGTAAATGACAGCAATTTCTATGCATTTCTACCAAAAGGCTTGCTGTAGTGATTTAAGGACAGCCTTTACTTCAAGAGAGGTATGGAGTTAGTATTGTTCAGCTGCAGTCTATTTAGTGGACAAACATTCCCCATTAGTTGGTCGAATGACAAAAGGGTGAGTGGCCAGATGATTTTCCAAACTAGGAAAAACTCACTGTTATAAATGAGTGGTGCGCGAGGTTCAGCAGCGACCATTCCGTTGCTGTTCACATGATCCGATATGAAACGTATTCTAACAGACTGAAAGTAAAAAGAAATTGAGCACCACGCGGCAGAAATGGAAGATTCAAGATACCTTTCCGCGCTTGCTGTACTTTCTATAGAACATCACCAGCACAGCAATGATGAAGCATAAGGAAATCAGCAAGCAAAGCGCGATGAGTGCAGCATAGAGTGGCCAGTACTTGTTCTCGTCGGTAGTATGTGTAATCGTGGGTATGGTAGCGTTGATAACCGGAGGAGGTTTCTCGATACCTAAAATGACAATAAAATTTTAAGGCTACTTGTATCGAATCAAGCGCTCAAGCCAATTCTCCTAACAAAATTTCCTATGTCCGCTGACTTTTCCGCCTGGTTACTTTGGCACACCTTCCCACCTTTCTTCAAGACTTCGGACATACACTTTATTTTCTTACCTTGTTGACATAAGGATGTCCCCGATATTTACAAAGCCAGGTTTAGGGCAATGTAGTTGGTTCCTACTGCACTATGGCACGTTCACCTTTCCTCTCTTACCTCTCGTCCCTCACTCAAACACCGCAGCCATAGAGGCTCCAGACAGTTTCAAGTTTTTCCCCGTCTCGCCCAGCAATCATACTCAAGTGGACGCATTTCCCTTTGAAACAGTTTTTGAGCCGAACAAGTCTGTACTCTTAGCATGTGAAAATGCAGAAAAATTCTTCAGGCTACCTCAGTGACTCAGACCGCGACGAATAGAACGTTTCAAAATCGTTTGCAATAGAGCAAAGATATAGTTGTTGTCTGACTAAAAACAGATAAATGCAGCCTCTCAAAATAACCATGTTAAAATTTCTTCACAAAACTTTTACATAGTTACGCAATATTTTCTTGATTCATTGAAAAATGATAGTAAAAATTTATCAAAACCTTGATGCTACTACTGAAAAACTTGCTTTGAGTCTAATTTTAAGCAAGCGATTTTGAAAGCGGATGCGCTTTGATTAACCATTATTGGGTTTTCGATTTTCATTGCATTTAGATAACTTCGAAATCATTTGATGTAAGGAGCTATCATACAATAGAAAAAATACAGCTCGCCCTTAAATCGTTTGAACTAAAACCTCGCAAATCGCCAGTACAAGTAGATGCTGTAACATTATTTCACCCAATTAGAAAGGGATAACCTCCAGGGTCATGCAGAATGGAAGCGCTTCGCCCGAGACGGGATAAAGAAATTAGCTATATATCCTCGAGTCATTGACAACTTCGTCTGTGAATTCACACACCATGCGTGGCAATCGACGACATTCTTACCAGTAACTCCTCAGTAAAAGCCCTTCTAGCTTAACAAGTTGTAGAAATGTGTACTATGACTGATATAATATATACAAAATCAGATCAAAAGAGGCAAAAGGAGAACTCTCTGAATGAGCAAGTTTAAAACTGATCGTCAATTAGCGCGCATGGTGTGCAATACGCATATCAAGCTACAAATGATCATTATCATAATATCGAAAATAATTACACTTGCTTGGTGAAAGCTTGTATGTTATCATAGAATCTCAGTGCGTAAAGGGACCACGTCAAGGTAATCCGCAAATTGCCTTGTATGTCAACCAGATCATTTCAAAAGGATTCACTCATGTTTTTCCCTCATTCTCCACCTCTCCTCTGGATCCTTTCTCACACCTAATCTGTACTCTGCCAATAACCCAAGCCCTAAGCGTATTGAATACCACAAAGAAAAAAAAGAGTGAAAATAATTGCTCACGTTGTAGTCGAACCCGTTTCCAGTCGGCTGCTATACAACTGCAAGCACCGTGTTGCTCGCTAGTTGGGCATAAACATCGGCCATCAGATGACATCTCTACCGGTATCACTGACGGAATGTAATCCACTCCATACTGAAAAACATACAGATTCTCCCACAGGTCTTAGGTGGAACACCGTAACGCCTAAAACTTAGACTTTCAGCATGCTTTCCCTACTACGGGATCAACAAATATTATTTTCATAATGTTGTTACATAAGTTCCGTCACACTCTCTCCGTTTTCCTATGGAAAACCCTAGAAAACTGGCAAAAGTTCTATTTGGCATGTATGGAGATGGGAGAAGGGGCTCCATTGGCATCGTTTTCGCTTTACCGACGTGATTTACAGTGGATAAAAATGCAACTTTCTAACGTCAAATCGAGTATTTCTTTATTCTTTGAGAACTCTCTCATTCTTTCTTGTATGTGTAGACTTTTTATAGACTTCCGGGAGTAAAGTAATACGAAAGCAGTTTGCAAGTATAACATAAGTTGGAAGTTTGCCAAAAATGATTGGAAATTTCAAAAAATTCAAAATGATTCTTTGTATGACATGTGTGCATCGAGAATTCACAACATTCCACATAACTAGGAAATGAAGAAAAAATCTTTTGAAAAAGTTATGAAGATTTTTTTTTCGATGGGTGTAACAAAGCTTACGTAGCAACCTAATATTTCTTCTGGTGATATTGTAAGTTATATCAGTTTCTATTCTAAGCTCAAGCTTTCCATTCCTTTTCGTGATCAATACTTTGGAAGACAGCAAGACGGCATTGGGGCCCAACTCATGCATTTCTGCGTTGTAAAAGATCAAAAGAGTAATGTGACCCTCAAAACTTCTCCAACATTGATGTTTTTGCTGATTTTGACAAAGCACTTGTGTTCCTTGGCGCGAAGGAAACAGAGAATATACGAGTCAGAAGAAAAATTCTCAAATGCTAAGAAATGGATGCCATACACGGTCTGCGCGTCTACTGCATATTCAGTATGTTTTTGAGTATGTAGACTTCCCCTATTTGGATAACAGGTTCATGTATATCAGGTTCAGGTATATCACTAACCTCCAATCCCGTGAAATTATGTTCGCCAAAGTAGACGACTTTCCCATCGATGATTTCTTTCTTCATATCCTTAGCCTTGATGGTCGTGTGATGCAGTAATTCAATACCAGTTTCATCAAGTAGTCGTACCTACAAAAAGAGCGCAGTGTCCCTGATTGTCTGAATTTTGCGCCAGACAAACCTCATACTCTTCGAAACAAAAATGTGGTGGTGCACCGACGAATTCGATTTGAATAGTCCGAGCTATGGATTGCAAAAAGATTCGCCGAAATGCTGCCGTCCACTTGGATGCCTCGGTATTCGCTGGAATAATGGGGTATACGCTCTTCAGACTAGACAGGGCTCAAGAATGTTCTCGAAACACTCCTTGAAACTGTTTTGGAAACTGGTTCCGGAAGTACTTGCTCAAGTTTTTACCTCCACATGGCATGACAAACACTGCGTGCTAAATTTGAGCTGAGCTTCTGGATAGACATGAAACTTTTAGCGCTTTGTTCTTTTACTCTTTTGCACAGCTGCACTTCTAGTGGCGTTTTTTCAGAATCTCCAGTCAAAAGTCTGTCGCTAGACTTTGGCCGCACTTGTCCATTGTTCTCCAGTGTCAAAGACTATGGGTGAAGCATAAATTTGCACACAAAGGTATCTGGACTCAAGCAAACAGCTCAGAATTCAAAAAAATCCCATTGTGCTTTCATGAGTGCTGCAAAACACAACATTCTGTGCAATTCTCTTCAGGACACACATTACAGAAGTAATTTCACAAAATTTTTCTCCCAGTAAAAATTTTTTGTGGATAACTGTAAGTTGTGTAAAGCAAAAATAATTCAACGATTGACCAACAAACAAACTATCACAGTTTAGAACTGGGATTTTCTATAACAAAAAAAAGATTAGAGATATACAGGCATAATGAGTCTCTAAGTGATGGTATTATAAGGATAGCATTGAGGCTGAACTCAGAGGAGAGAGAATGGGAATCGGATTTGTGAGTAAGTACTATTCATCACGAAAATCGCTGAGGGGAGCAACAAATAGAAAATTTTAGCGAAAACTGAGAGCATATCTCAGCTATGTGCTCTATAGTCAGAAGGATGGAGAAAGATGGAAGACAAAATAATTGTAAAGACATCTGGTTTAGAAAAAAGTGGATTTGAGCTAATTGTTGCTCCCCCAGCGATTTTCGTGATGATGGTATTTACTCACAAATCCGATTCCTATTCTCTCGCCTCTGAGTTCAGCCTCATTGCTAACTTTATCGACGTATACGATTCGCGGCTTTTAACCTGCATTTGGCAACACAATTACCTTTAATTGCCGTTTTACAAATTCGCATTAATGAGGGATTGATGAAAATTGCGCTGGCACAAAATGAGCTTCGTTTTCTGCACATACCTGACGTAAACCTATGATGATGAGTGTGTAATAAAAGCTACAGTTTCAAGGGAATAGCACTAAGCGATGCTAATAGAGTTGAAGCGGAAGTCCAAAATCAGCCGAGTTTGGTCTATAGACTGTTCAATTCCGAATAAAGCTCCTCAGTTCTGGAAATCATTGGGAGCAGAAACGTCTTAGTTCAAATAAAGCACTCTTCTAATGAAAAGAAGAAAAATGTCATGAATCAAGTAGCTCAATAGCTTCGTTAAGCTTTATAAAGCACGCCGCTGTTGTAAAAATGCATCACTATTAGTGGTACAATAAATATGAAATTTTTCAGGAGCTACATTTTTTGGCACCATGGTTGGATGCTCTTCGCTAAAATTTTCCAAAGGTGCTTCATTATGTGTCAACTTACAAACTAGAAGAAATTGCTCAAAAACACAAGCATGAAATTAGAAAAAGCGTAGTAGACTGACTTCGAAGATGAATTTGGTAAAAGCTAGCAACTTCTAAGCCGATCTGATCTGATATTCTACTTCTTCAACTGGAAGACATTAGCATGCTTTCTCGTCTTAGGATAGAAAAGGCTCCATTTAGATTTTCAGATGTAGTTGAATAACAGACAAGACGGTAGTCATTGATGCCTTAACATGATTATTTTTCTTTCAAAAAATGGTGCTGCGTAAACAACGGGTAAAGGTAAAGTGATGTTACTAACAGCATAACAGTTTTTGGATGTCACAGACTACGACATGTGTGCTGGTTTTGATGAAATTATGATTACAGCCAACTGCACACTTTTCAAACAGTAGGATATTTTTTTTCAGGTGTGGAGAGAGTACGAAAAAAAAGCACCTCTGCGGGGGACAAGAGGACCCCAAATGTCAGCGACTTTGCCCTCAGATCCTGGGTAGGATAAGAGGAAGCAAAGACACAGCTTCGGGGATCAAGAAGACCCCAAATGCCAGCGATTTTATTTTGACAATTTATAGATGATTATCCTTCAAAGGTACTGGTTCGCGCTTCGGTGAAGCCTAGTACCTGCGCAACGTTCCTTTTATATCTGGAAGGCTTGCAACCTTCTTCGCATTAGCTGCCCCCCCCCCCGCTTCGCTCCCTTTCTATTTTGCCGCGACGATTCACGAACACAGGCCAAGCGCTCCTGCAGCCGCGTGAGGTGAATCGATGGCGGTCTCTGTGGTTCCCCGATGACGATGACGTGCAGAAAATGCAGCCATGGGAAAATTATGCAGAAAATGCGAGATTCTGAAGATGAGAGGCTTGCTATGACTAATTCCTGAGCTCTCAATTTGTGGTGGATAGATCTGCGCTAATCACTGAACATTCGATACTTTAGGTATGAAATGTGTGACACAGATGACGTCGGAAATGTGTATCCGAATCGAAGAAAAAATTGGCAGAAGGGAGCCGAACGAGGGGGGGGGGGAAGGTTGATATCACTCCTAAAAATCCCGAGTTGGCTCCGAACGTTCTAAAAATAATCCTAGTACCAACACAGCCCTGCTGTAAACAAATTTATGCGTTGTTGTTGTTGTGAGTGCGTGTGCGCATGTGTCAAGATAATGACGACGTATTGACAAAAACGCTTGAGGATGTTGCAGCACTCAGGAGGGGGGGGGGGGGGAGTAGGAGAAGGTACCAACTACTCAACGCCCCCGTAACCAGCTCGTGCATAGTTCGAACGGTGTCCATTACTTATACACTCGCAACCGTATGGCACACGCTATACTTGATTCACTTGACTCGCTTGATCAAGTTTATCTACTTCGCCATTGGTCAAATCAGTGAACTGACCAATAGCCAAGTGACCCACTTCAGCCACTCCACTACTGGTCAGTTCACTGATTCGACCAATAACGAAGTGGGTCAAGTGAATCCATTATGGGATGTGTCATCACTGCATTGTTCTAAAAACTCTCTCGTGACTACTTGCACCTAACGCAAATAACAAATTGCAATATCCATGCACTTTTCCTGCAGAATCAGTAACAAACGCTGCTGCTGCTAGCTCAGATCCCCCCCCCCCCCCCAGTAGGGCAAAGTACACAGTAGCTAATGGCTGATGAAGCACATTCGTTATCCGCGTCAGAATCATGCACGTAATTCTGCAAATGACTAAAACATCATTGCATTCAACTTAAGACTCTGACGAGTCATGATTTTGTAGCTAGAGATTACAGTATGCTGGTGCAAAAGAAGTAGAAAAAAATCGTGAGAACAATCAGATTTGTTTTTCATCTTTCCGTGCAATTGCAAGGAGGGAGCAGTAAAAAGGAGAGTAGTTATGCTCTAGATGAACCTTAAATTATGCTCCAATGCCCAAAAGTTGAATTTCTAGTCAAACAATAATTACTGGAGATGAGATAAAAGCCGAAGTATGTCAAGGACAAGCAGTTTTTTCATTGAGCGGAGTCTTCATTTTTGTTGTTTTACACTTTTGATTTTTTTTTTGACATACCAGCGAGTCACAATAAAACTATAGCGATTCGAGTCTCTATTACGTGACCAAAATGTGCTCAAGGAATGCTCTGTAAAACGAGAATTGCCGTTCTCCATCCCTAGCAAAATATAATTCATTATAGGAAAAGGCAGGAAACGATCACAATATGGTAAAAATTACAGAAAAAATAATGAACTCACTGTGTGTTTTGCAGTACTGCGAGATGTTGGTGCGATCATCATCGTATATCATTTCTGCAAAGATGCGATGTATAAATGATTTAGCAAATAAAAAATTCTGCCTCATACCTGGATCCTCTGGCATTCGCGATTCTTTGATCACCACAGGTGCTCGTTCTACTGACCGAGGAAGACTGTAGAGTTCAATACGGTAGCCTTCGGAAAACTTGAACAAGCTTTCGGAGGTGAAGTGGAAGCGAGGCTGAAAGGAAAATTCAGCTCAAGTGGAAAGTAGTTTTGGAATCGATGCTATTCTGACAAATCTTAGATTGGATTTGCAAGTGGATAACCGTGGCATAATTTTTTTATTGAGGAAGAGGTGGGAAGAACAGAGATATTCTTTCGAAATAAGTGAGATGTTCAAGGCTTTCTGCGGGAAAAATTGTCTTCGGACACCTCCCGAGAAATTTTCAGGATGCTTTCTAAATCCTTTCTAAATTCCTTTTAAACAAAATATCGAATGGAAGTAGAGGAAGCAATCTTTTACATGGCCAATATGAAATCTTGAAAGACTTCAAAAATTATCTCAAACATCTACAAGTGTCAATAGCATAATTTATAAATTTGTAGACTACTATTAAAAATCCCCCCTCCCCCTCCCCCGAGCCAACGCCCTCGCTCAACCACCCACATGCGGACAGGTGATGCAAGACAAAAATTAAGAAATTCAATCTATTTCTCTAGTCTTTCAGTACATAAGATTTTATGATACTCTAATATTTTATGGTGATCTTCATCACGCAGAAAGTATGGTACAATTGCTTTTTTAATACTCTTCTTGCTATTGCTTTTTGAAAGTCCTCTTCCTCCATACTAGGTTACGGTAAGGCCGCTTGTAGTGAACTAACCGAAGCCGAGTCCTGTGTCCATTCGGAATCGGTGACATTGAAAACAAAACATTTGTCACCTTCAGTTCCATTGACTTGCAGTTTGAAAGCACGCAAAAGAACTGAGTTGTCTGAAAATGTTTTTCTAAATATTTCCAGAAAATTCTATTGTACGTCAAGGGAGGATCTCGTACTTTTTGGAGGCCGTTGCCAAGAGATGTCCACATGTAGTTGATGGCCTTCTTGTCTAGCCATGGCTTTGGCGAAAGCTTCGACTCGAACATCGTGGGCCTCTGGTGGCTCATGTCCAGCTGCCACCGGTTCGAAGAGCTGCTCAGTGCAGCCAACTGAAATTTCTGATATTTGCACTTGCTTGGACTCTCAAAAAATTTGCGAGTTTCAGTGGTCCCTGCGCAGACTTAGGTCACCAGCAATTGACATTAACTTCAAGCCACTTCTATCCTCCTTATTCTTTTATCCATGCCGTTCTCTGCGGCATCTGTTTGCGAAACTTGAGCATGCAGAAGTTTCAGTTGAGGTAAAAATTTGAAACAAGCGATCAAATTTCTAAAATGGATGAGTTCTTTCTTGCTATATTAGTTTTCAAAGGACAGAGCTAGACATGAGTGCATCCCAAAACTGAAAGCAATATGGATAGCAGAAGATCACATGTGGTGTCTCGAAAATGGACAGTTTGAAAAGATTAATTTGAAATTAGCGATACAGCAGGCAGCATGTTGACGGCAATTGAAGCATGCATATTAACAGGAAATTGATAATGACATGCCAAACAGTTTCTCAGAAAAAAAAATTTAGCCTTGTCAAGCTTTCCCATAATTTTTTGAAGTGCACTTGTCCCAGTTTCTCTAGGTTTTTGAGGTAAATTCCACATTTTTCTTATTCCTGACTGCAAGCTTCTTTTTAACCTTCTAATACACTGACTATGAAGGGTTGCACTCAGAGAATTCTGAACTGGAGAGTCTCAAAAACGCTGAAGCGAAAATTACTGTCAATGCAAAAAGATGAAAATGATGAATCAGTGGTTCTGTGCAGACTGAAAGTTTATGAAGAAGTGAAATAGCAGTTTTGAAACTCTTGGAAAAGCAAAACATCGATTATCGGTGATATTCTTGAGTAGGACTTCTTCTTGGAGGAAAATTTCCTACTTAAAATCAAACAATCAAATAAAAAATTTCACAATATTTTTTCCATCCCCTTTGCAGCAAGTATCGAACTGCTAAAAAGGTCTATGCCTGCAGGTAGGCAAAGGGCCATATCAGCAATTTGTCCATATTATCTTTTGACGTAATGGCTAATTTCTGAGATTCTTTGCTCTAGCCAAGCTTACAATAATTAATTTGCTGAGCATGTTGTTAGCAGGCTCAAATTATAGAGCCTAAGCCGCATATCATCAATTTCTGTTGCAGAAGGCAGGTAGCAAAAGCAGATAGATAGGCTTTATAAAAACTTAAGTGTGTGAATTAATCATAGCCCAACGAACGAACACGTCGACGCTAATGGGCACAGAAAATGCAAGGCGCTTATTGAGCTAGCATGTGACTACTGACTCACCGACATGAACCGAGCAAGCAATCTCCTTATTGTGAGGATCCGAGCAATCCGATTGAAAATTCGTCACGCTATTGCTTGCAGATTTCAAAGCCTCTGTCAGGTTCTGAGCGAGACTTGTAGCATTCTCCCAATCCTGCTGTACAATATCAGAAGGGAGTTCAAAAGTAGAGGTGTCCGTCACATTGCTTGCGTCAGCGACAAGACCAAGAAGAAGTAGCGAGAGTATGGCAATCATTATCTGTGCTGCATCCCTGGTCAACTTATCTGAAAAAGCATTGGTTTTGCGGGACATATGAGAAAAATCGATAATCGATCGGCGAGACAGAACGGACGTGGATGTAAAGCTATAAAAGTTCCAGGAAATTCAGTGTGAAGCCAAGTCGGATGCTTTCATGGAGCGGAGAGGTAGGAGATGCAGAAAACTGAAAACGAAATGATCCTGGAGCGAGGATAAGGAAATGATCTATGCTGTACATTTGCACCTTTTGATATGCTGTTATACTGGAAATCCTTTTTTTCAAGCTCAAGGTATGAAATTGTAAACAAAACTTATAATAGAAATTTTTTTTTCGCCTTCTGCATAGGCCGCTGCACCGACTATCTCGAAAAGACAAAACCCTAACGGCACTTCAACCTCTATTTCTTCTTTTTTTTTAGAATTCTCTTACTCCTCTCTTTATCTTTTCAGAATTTTTGGACCATGGGCATCAGAGGTAACAAGGAGCAGTCTAAAAATTTGAGCTCTGCAATAACTCATTCTGAAAATTTGGCAGAATTTTAGAAAATCCAGAACTTTCTCCACATACGACATGTATGCCTCGAAGCCCCATGTATTTTGCAAATGAGGAGCTTCTTTTAAAGATAGCGAAGATTTTCCCTATTCCCGTTGAGTGTAACAAAACGTTAATGTCCTGATAGATACCGAATGTTAGCCCGACTTGCAAGAGAAGAGAAAGCAGTTCCAAAGAAACAAACACTTAGCGAAATCTGATAAGGAAGGGAAATAAAATTTGCCCACTGCCATAGGCTAGAGAATGCAGTTGTAGATAGGATAAATCTGAGGTGTTTGGCTCGCATATATATATCTCAAGTCAGACTTATATTACTGCACGATCTCCGACCAATAAGTTTTCACATTGATCTCAATAAGCTACTGGACTATAGGGATCAATGTGAACCACAAATTATCACCTCAGATTTATCCTATCTGTTGACGAATTTATGCTAAAGCTCGCATGATTTAGTGCCCGCCATCTGTCAGAGATCAAAGTCGGATTACTCCCATTCTTCACTGCGCTCATTATATTATATCAGAATCAGAAAGCAGTAAATTTTGAGTATCTATGTACAAGCAAAAACAGTTTTGTGTAGGTGTGACAATTCAGGTGTGAGAGACTTTGATGTTAGCACGCGTCTAGTGCTCTAAAACTCTATCACATCAGGATGTTGCCACTTCGTGTAACTAGCCCCTTCAGATAAATTTATAAGCAATAAAAAAAATTGTTTGGCAGCTTGGCAAGGGCTATTTCGAGATGAGCGCGCGCGTGATACTTTCGACTTCTGTTTTGCGCGTTCACTGCGCTGGCTTCATGGCTTCATCAAAAAGCAGAACTGCGTTCAAAGATGAGAAAATCACTGGGCGCATGCCAACAGGGAACATACTGCAGTTTGCGTGGTTTTCATTTTGTGGATGCTTCTTGGAACACTGAGGAAGCTGGAATGTCTACTTGGGCACTGGGAGTTGATTTACAGCAGTGAGAACCGAGGGAGAAGGGCGGGGGGGAGAGAGAGAACGTGTTGCGAAATTTTTGAAATTTGCTCACATGTATTAGAAAGATGAGTGACTTGTTCATTCTTGTAAATATAAAAAATAAAAATAACTTTCAGATTTTTTTAGAAAATTCAAATTAGCTCTGAGAAACTTTCTTTCGGGGCTTATGGGCCCACAAAAATACCGAGAAACCTCATAAATTTTATCGAAGTATGTGGCTAACGCCACGCACCTTCATTTGAAAAAAACCTTTGCCCCCCCCCCCCCCCGCCCAAAGGAATGGGACCGCCACTGCGTCCCAGTTATCTTTTTATACAAAAGAATGGATTTTTAAGCAAAGACAAAGTCACTGACCTTGGGTATTTGCAGGTATTTTGAGCTAAAGTGAGTTGATATGGTAAAGAAGCCAGTGACGGTCCAGGAATATTTTTTGCGGATGTGGCAAAAAATTTTCCATATGACTTCGTTTGCAAAAATTTTCTGAAATGCTTTTCAAATTTTTTTGGTACTAGGAGCTCAAAAATATAAAAAAGAGGTGTAGTCATTGTAGTTATAGAAAAACTTGCAGTTATGTTTTCGATAAAAAGTTGCAAAAGTTAAAAAAATACGGGAGAGTTGCAGCTAAGCAACCACAATTTTGCATAGCATTTTGCAACATATTACTAATCCATATTAGCATCAATACATTCGCCAAAATTCTTGCCTCATATCATAAGAAAATAATATTTATTTGTCGGAATCAGCGTATTCTTGCAGTAACCAAGAGGAATAAGAGAGCAGCAAGCACGACTGCTAGAAAGCCAATTCATAATTCACTGGAGCCGTGTTCTGCACTGCAGGTAGATTAATGACTGGGCAACGGAGCAATTTAGAAAGAGAGAAGAAAGAAGAAGCAACTGACCAAACAATTTGAAAAATGGCTATATGTTGCCAGTAGTTCTCTCACGGGAGAAGTATTCTTTCCGAAATCTGTCAGAAAAGCCACAAAGATATGATTAATATTGTGGAGTTGAGGAAAAGTTCCCAGAGTTGTGAGAGGAATAGGAAGGGAAGAAGCTCCTTTATTTTCAAGTTTTTCACGACCAAATTCCGAAGTTTTGTCGGAAATCAGCTGAGACTTTGGTAATGTTGGCGTCAATTGTGCGTATGACTAAACGCAAACGTCACCTGTTTATTCACCGTTGGTTACACCCACCAACAACGCAAACAATCAATATGACGCAAATGTACGTACTTGCGGTATACGTACCCTGTATAAGGCTAGAAGTCGGCTAAACAACATGATTTACAAGAAGGTGATTATCACTTAGGTGATTATCAAAATTTCCGTGCACTTATTGAACGCGTATAATTTGGAAAAGCGAATGATGAATTTCCCTCCCGTCCTCCCCCCCCCCTCTCATCCATCCTCCTCTACTGAAAATCCCAATGTACATACTAGGTCAAATCCGAACGACATCACATTTTCTCCAGCTCATGCGCCCTGACGTCATCGCAATAACAACGGGCAGTAGAGCGTGTTTTCTTCATAGCGATAATGTCATGTGGGTCTATAAATAAAATTCGCACACATGATAGCAGTTACGAATGGTCCGCAATGCGTGAAAAACGGCGTCGAGCAGCATATGAAATAAGCCTGTTTGAAAATGAAAAGGGCCGTCATCGACGTGGGCGCCGACGCGAAAGTAAAAGTACGCACTTGCACAACTGTGCTGCATTGTTGGTTTTATGCGTCTGCGTTCTGGATGTGCGGTCTCTGAATTCGAGAAATTCAAGGTACAAGTAGGACTCAGACGATTTCATATACGGCGCAACATAGTGGGTGTATTTCTGGCCTACAGCGGGAATTGTGGGAGTCAGGAGCGGGGAAGAGTCAGCCCAATGACAGAAAAAATTATAGCCTAAGCAGCAGCCCAATGAATTACAGCTTGATGTGAAAAGCAAAATACAAAAAATCTGATGTGCTTGATAATCAACTAGCTAAAAAGCTTAAAATAATCAAAGGCTGATTCTAGACGAAGGCGGCTGCCATTGCATGCGAGGTGCGCGCGCGCATACGAGCTCCGATGACGAAAGGTGCACGGACGCCGCGCTCGCAAACGCTTCGCAGAGAAACCCACCGCCTTCGCCTGGGATCAGCCTTTAAGCATTCAAATTATTGGCAACATAGGACAGTACAGTATCGCTTTACAGTCCTTTTTTGACACGGCAGTTAATTTTTGACTTTTCGAGAATAAGAAATAGTTTGATATCAAATCAATAATTCTTTTCTTAAAATGAAAATGCCTTTCTCACTCTTCCTTAGCACCTAAGCATCTTTTATTCATTGATGCCGTGCGCAAGACCTCATGACTAAGCAGAAAAAGACTTAGCTGAACCAATAAATAAGATGGTGAAAGGAAAACTAGCATTTTGTTAGAGAATGGATAGCGCTAAAATTGCTGTGCATAGATTCCCTTGAGCTCCAATTTTACAAGATCAAAAATTCAGAGCGTCTAGAAACCGTTTTTTTTGTGCGCATTAGAAAATCAAAGCACAGTTGATTCTGCACTTTCACGCACTTTCGACTTTGTTCGTCTGCAAGTGTGAGAGTTTTGCAAGCAATGATTAAATGTCATCGCGCACTTTGTCTTGACATTCGCTTTCTTTGTAATTAGCTGAATTATAGTAGCTTTGTCTTTAACAAGGCTAGGATGCTCTGAAAAGGTAGAAATTCGTAAGATGAGTCACTGCTTGTTGCCGTCAAGTCAAAAAATGAGTACGTCATGATTGAGCAGCTGTTGATAAGGCTGATTGTGAATGAAATTCGCTTTCCTTTGTAGAATCGCTACATTAAAACAAAACATTCTCATAAGTTTGAAACGGATTTCTGTACATTTAATCGGCTTTTCTAGCCAGTTAGAATTCTTAAATTGAGGCCGTGTCAAGTTGAGACAGTGCGTAATAAGAAGTTTCTTTCGGAAATGTTGTAAAGCGCCAACAGTTAAAGGTTGCATCGTCCTTGATACTTACTCGTGCCAAATTGAATGTGACATAACTTATGGTTTGAACAACTTTGGCTAACAACTCGTGCACCTTCCACAAATACAGTATAATTATCTGCGAGCAATACCTTACAAAACCACGTCTTCACGATTATTACTCGTTGATATAAATTTTCTTGAATCTGACGTAACTCTGACGTCGCAAACAGGTCACTAAATGCATGTTATGATGAGGGAATTACTAGACAACGTAAGCCCTGGATGTAATTCAGAAGAGCCGAGGTATGCGAAAGTTTCGGTTTCCGCTTGTCAATGCTGGGAAAATCTTAGCGTAAAATTATTATTGTGAAAGTTAGTATATTTGCTGATGAATAATAGCTGAGAAGATTACTATAAAACTGCGAGTTCACCTAGAGCAAGTAAAGTGGCCATTAAAGAAATTTCTATAGAGGTGATCTGATTTTCAAAGATATGAAAACTTTCCAAATGTTTGAGCAAAAACAAGTCTTCTGTATAAT